CACTTAGGAATTGATCAGCAGTGATCCAGCATGAAAAGGTGCTACGCTTTGCTATTACGTAGACAAAGAGTGCTAATTCTGAAGAGCCATTTACAAGTACATGCTTTAATGCTGAACACCTTTAACTCCAAGTCTAAATGTAAATGCTTCATTCAGTAAAGAAAAACAAAAAATGTATCAAGAATGCTGAGCAGCCACCATGAACAGTTCTATGTTAGAAGTGCCCTCACAAAACTTGTATATCCAAGCTATAAAACATACTGCTCCTGGATCTGATTACCTGTGAAACCAATGTTGTTTTAAGTCAGTCAGTAGAAGTTGTGGTCTGTCAGCTGAGCAGTGGCAGTAGTCTTTATAAATGGTTTTAGCCTCCTGCAAATGCGAAGTATTTAATGTTTAGATTTGTAATGGGGAGGGAAGCTTAATTGCTCGTGTTTGCAGAGACCTGAAAGCATGCATGTGAACACTTACAATGGCTTAGTCATACCAACAAGATTGTGGGTGTAACCCACTATCAACTGCAGCAGGAGGAAGAAGCACTGACCTTTGAACCTGCAGTTCATGGAAGTAGAGATAATCAGAATTTTTGTACCACAATCAGTGACTTTCCAATTAAAGCAAGGCCTCTGGTACAGCGCCGTTCAGCTGTGAGAGCTTGATTGCTGAGGGTAAAACAGTGAGGAGTGGATGCACTGAAAGTGGAAGTGTTTATACCATGTGTGTTCTCATGCCAGGATATGCTCTGTTGCAAAACACAGACTTCAGCAGTGTTTGGAAGTTGTAAGCGTGTTCTGTCTCATCCACTAATAACAATCCCTTCAATTTACAGCAAGAATATTTACGACTGTAATGACTACAAATGATCTGATAGGTGAGTATGGGAGTGGCTTACCTTTCCAGGGAACAGCTGCTTTGGTAGATTTTAACTGTATCCTAAAAGCTTAAAATAGAATTTGCATCAAATTTAATTATGAAGAAAATTTGTTTAACAGCTTCTTACTGTCCTTGAAAAAGATTGATGCTGACAAAACTGAAAGATCAAAAAGGTACAGCACGTATTATCAATATCTGGTTCAAAATCAAGAGCTGGTGGCAACAACAAAATCACGTGGTACTTTATGTGGTGAATCTTTGTTCCAGTTCAGAGCTAATGCTCCAGCAGAAACAAGAGCTTAGTGGATTTTTTAAGCAGCCCTTGACAGCCTAGTTTTACAAGCAGTTAAAGTGGCTCTTCCACTGGAAAAGGAAATGCCCTCTTCAGTTCCTTATTCCTTCTCACCCCACTTGCTTACTGCCTGGGTAGGAGTTGGTGGGGCCATGCAGGATCACCAAAAGAATGGCCAAGTGCAGGTGTAGAAGTATAACCTAGGTCAGCTATCAAGCCCAGCTCACCCACAGCTGCTTAGAAGCCAGAGAGGTGTAATGAGGGGAGGAGGGAAGGGAGAAAAGCACGGTGAAATGGCTATTTTATGAAATAGCCATAAAACTGAATCCTTCAAATGTAAACTGCCTCTGGTTAAGGCTGTGTTTTAAAATGCAGCACAGTGAGCTTGGGAATGTGAAAGAGATGGCAGCAAACACACTGTGCAGCCATAACAGAAAGTGATTTGAGTTCATGTCTAGCTCTTAAATAGGTTGGGATGTTTATCCTGATCCATACTCAGGGATCCTGATCCGTGCTCAGGGAACTTTTAAGGAACACTTCTGAACCAAAGCTACATTTGCCTGTGATTGTGCCACACGTGGAGACACTGTGATCATTTTCATTTAAAAAAATGGGGCAATCTAATCATGGTTCTGAAGAACAGAGCCTTTTCCTAAGTTGTCAGATTCCCCATCATTAAATATGACAGCTGTATTTCCTGTATCCCCAAAGTCTCAGCCTTACAGAGGGTCAGGGAGGTGATCGTCCCTCTCTATTCTGCCCTTGTGAGGCCCTGTCTGTACTGGTACTGTGCCCAGGTCTGAGCCACCGCCTGGTACATGAAAGACAGGGAGCTGCTGGAGATGGTCCAGAGGAGAGCCACAAAGATGATCAGGGGGCTGGAGCACTTCCACTACGAAGACAGGCTGAGGGAGCTGGGCTTGTTCAGCCTGGAGAAAAGAAGGCTGCGGGGTGACCTCATTGCAGCCTTTCAATACCTAAAGGGAGCCTACAAACAGGAGGGGAATCAACTCTTTGAAAGGGTTGATGACTGCAGGACAAGGGGAAATGGTTTTAAGTTGAGGGAGGAAAGGTTTAGGTTGGATGTCAGGTGGAAGTTCTTTACAGAGAGTGGTGAGGTGCTGGAACAGGCTGCCCAGAGAGGTTGTGGATGCCCCGTGCCTGGAGTGTTCAAGGCCAGGTTGGATGGGGCCCTGGGCAGCCTGGTCTGGTATTAAATGGGGAGGTTGGTGGCCCTGCCTGTGGCAGGGGCGTTGGAGCTTCATGATCCTTGAGGTCCCTTCCAACCCAAGCCATCATATAATGAACAGATGGCAGCAGAGAATAATCTGTTTATTATGAGCAATGCACACAACTGTAAAGGACACAGAATCTGTGGCTCTGAGTTTGTGTGAGGTGCAAATACTTGTGTGGATGGGGCGGCTCTGCTGGCCTTGTCACAGGAGAAAGGTGTGCTATTTTCAGACAGCCCTCACAAGCGCTGAGTGCTTTCAGTGCCCTTCTCCGCTGCATTTACTTTGAGAATTTGGGTTCCTAAAAGTGCTCATGGAACTCATTGAAAGGAAAGCAGCAATTTGTACACCAGGAGAGGTTGACAAAAAACACATCTGCTGAAAATGACTGCAGATGATTTTTTGGAATGACGCTTAATGAGAGTTGTTTGTTTTTCCTTTCTAGTTCTCATCCGTTTCATAACCATGCTCGTTCTCAATCTCTGGGTCACGGCCACAATCCTGCGCTACAGGAGAACTAAAAAGACTGATTAGAAGATGCTCATCAGCATGCAGTATGAAAAGAAAAAAAGGGAAAAGGAAACTGGTATGGTTAAACAACAGAAAAAAGCTGAGGAGAAGTTGAAAGGGGAGATTAAATCTGGATGTAGGGGAAAAGGTGTTTTACCATCAGGGTGGTGAGGCACTGGCACAGGTTGCTCAGAAAGGTGGTGGATGCCCCATCCCTGGAGACACCCAAGGTGGGTGGCTCTGAGCACCTGGTGGAGCTGTGGGTGTCCCTGTGCATTGCAGGGAGTGGAACCAGATGGCTTTCAAGGCTTCTTTCCAACTCAGATGATTCTGATTCTGTGAAGCACTCTCTCTTAAGCCTCGTATTTGTCTCTAGAAAGATTTAGTGCAGTTCCGCTTATTTTCTCATAGAAATAATTCTGTTAAGATACTTAATTTAGGCAGCACACTTTTATTAGTTATTTGTGACGAGTTTCCCTGATCCCACTTTTTCTCTGGATCTTTTTTAGTAAATGAACAAGGTATTTGTATTTAGACATGTATATGTTCTCATGTCACTTCAGTACTTTCTGGTTACATATTAGCAATTATTTTCTTCAACTCTACAAATTATACAAGAGAACTTTGTGGCAGCATATCTGCTCTTCTGTCTACATCTGCTGCCAGTGCCAGGTGCTTCTTTTTCTTGCAAGCAACTCAAATAGTCAGATGGTAAGTACCTGTATTTTAGTATAGAGAAAATCTGGGTAAAGGCCCAATTCAGAATATATTTCTAAATGAGTTTAACAAAGTCAGGGATCCAGCTGAGATTGCAGCACTTGAGCAGTACATTCACACCCCTGATACAGGGTATCTGTAGTCACTTCCATACAGGCAGTTTTTATTTCGATAAGAACAAAAACAACCGTGTTCTTCTTTCTCAGCATGCGCTCTCCATCACTGAATTGTTTTGGGAACAGCAGTAACTGGAAGGTACGGAGATTAGTGAGACTCTGAGAGTTAATTCTGTTCCAAGAGAGGCTCCTGCAGTGATGCCCAGTCTCCGTATGCAGTCTGCTCTGACTGTAGCCCATCTATGCACTGTGATGCACTGAAGCAAACCCGTCTGCAGTGGTTATCAGGCTTTGATGATGCTACAGTATGCTTTCTTACTTTTAACCTGTCCTGAAGAATTTATAGACTGAAGTTGAATTTTTACTGTGAAGATTCCAACCGGTTTTAGTAGGTATGTTTAAAAAGGGAGAAAGATGTTCTTAAAAACTTGTAGCAGGGGATTTTACTTTTGGAAGAGGTACTTTTCCAACCCTAAGTTAGAGCAGGTACCAAAGAGAAATAGAACGACCACTGATTTCTCAACACATTCTCCAAGATGAGAAGATAGGCCTTTTCAATAGAGTCTTACACTATTGCTGCTGATCAGCATGCTGAAAACAAGGCGCTCGTGATCCTGGCAGGCTTGCAAACTATGGGAAGACTCAGTGAGTACATTTGAGTCAGGTTTTCCTTGCAACGTGCTGAATCACTGGGATGTTACAGAGCAGTGGGATCTGCAAAAGCAGATCTTTCTGCCAGCAGTCGTACAGCAAGCAGAGACCTTCACTGTCTGAAACAAAGCTGCTTTGTCAGCTCTGATTCTGGGGAGGGAAGGGGTGGAAAGGGGTATGTCTGTGGACATTATGCTTTTGGGTATCTCACATTATTGAGAGAAAATTAAAACATGAGGCTTTTTTACTGCTTCAGTAAAGAATGCTCAGAAGTTTCTCTGTTGGTTGAGAGAGTAATTGTAAATATTCTACTGATTTTACTGAAGCTATCTGAACTGTCTAATTTGCTGGCAAGTGGCATGTAATACTTTTTCCAGGTCTTATGAATAAATGCTATTCTTCATGATTGCTTAATGTCATTCTTGGGAGTTTTCATTGTGTTCAATGTTTTTATTCTGTGTCCTTTTACGAAAAGAGAAAAAAAGGTTCATTACAGGCCATAAATGGGCAGCCTTCACTTTAACACTCAAAGCATCAGGCTGTACATCAGTCAACCTGTACAATGCACAGAGGTCCAGCACCTTACAGGAACAAAACACACACCTCTTATCTGTTTTTTAATCTGTTTTAATAGACAGTGCTCTTTTTGGACTCAGAACTCTGTTATTGGTGTCTTTCAACCTCCTCAGTGACTCTGTAGGAAAATTGAGACCACTTCTGGTTTGATCATCAGCACTTCACTTGTTTTTCCATCATAACATCTTGGAAATGCATTTAAGGTAAGTTCTTCAAAAGATAGTTGATGTATGGAGGATAAATCTTGGAAACTTGTGGGAAACAAAGGAAAGAAACAGTTGGGTAAATGATGAGCTTAAGTAGAGTAATTCTATGGACTTGGAAAGCTGGAGCATGAATTCTCAAGCCGTGTGGGATATGAACAAGTCAGAAGGTGGTGGTGGTAGTTGTATGTACTTTTCTCTCTCTTTTTTTTGCTCCCAAAGAATAATTTCATTTCTTTTTGTAAAGTAGAGAATTGTGTTCAAGTCTTGGGCAAGCCCCATACAAGCATAGATCCTGCGGCCTTCTATCTGTAAACCATAATCTTCTCAAGTAGCTGGATTAAAGGCAGTAGCTTTAGACAAAAGAGAAGGATAAATCTTGTTAAACCTGTCACTCAGTGGTTATTGGGGTGGGTGCAAGCAAGTTGTTCACTGCACGGTGCAGCAGGTGGCCCAGAGCAAACAGGGAAAGCAGCTCAGGTCTGTTTATTGTTTGAAAGGCAGTAAGCAACTTCTGTCCACAGAGGTGAAGGTAATTCTCCACATGCAGATCGTGTTGAAGTGCTGAATCACCCACACAGCCTCTGCTTGCATCAGGTGACAACACGTTCACAGGGTAAAATTGCTTTCCCTGGGTTGGAAAGCGTGGGACCTACCAGGGCTTACAAGAAGTATGAGTTGTCTTGCCCAAACAATACTAAATTTCAATCTAGTACAGGCCAGTGAAATTTGAATGCAGCCCCAAGTCTCTCCAGCTGTGACTTTATGGTTCTGTGTTAACTATGTAAAGTGGTTAAGCTACAGCAGGCGTTCAGCAACAAAGCTCTCTTTAGCAGTATGTCAGAGAAGGCATTTCTCTTGAGACCCGCTGCCCAAAGGCAGAACAAGGATGTGACTGCAGAGAACAGGCTGCAACTCTTTTGAGCTTTATTTCTCAGAGGTAAGGGCTGGTGAGGTCAGATAGGCTCCCAAGAGCCACGACAAACAGTACCATGAGGACCTGCCAGTTCACCACGTGCTGGATGCTATTGCTTGAGGCCTTGATATAGCTCAGCCTTTGCTGCCTGATAGCAGACAGAGAGACACCTCCAGGACATCAACCAGTCCATCCTTCCTTCCTTGGTAGTGGTTGGGGGCAATAATCCTTCTTGGAGATGTTCCAAGCTTTGGTTTGGAGGTAAAATACAGACATAATGATCCTATGTAATACTCCCGATGAAATTTAAGGGGATATCCTAAATACAATTTAAATATTTGTCATGATTTAATTCATGTCCTGTTTTTCTGTTGTTGAGGCTGGAATTTATCCAGCTCAGCAGAGCTAGCTTAGACTGTGCGTAGACTAAACAAGTGCTTCCTTATATTATGTGGTATTATTTATTCACAGGAAGAGCACTTGAACAGGGCTGAAATCTCGTTTTATCCGTCAAGCATTCTGGAAATGAAAGGGCAGAACCTGCACTATCTCAGTGTGGCAAGAAAAGCCAGCTAATAATGATTAAAATTGAATAATAACATGGCTCCATGCTAAAAAAACAATTTTACTTACCACCTTGTTGTAACTGGAAATCTTCAGTGCACGTGCTCTCTTTGGGACGTTGACTATTTCTGCTTTTGGAGGCTTCAGTCAGCAGTACCAAAGTGCTGACCTGTCTCACACCATACTGGAGGTGTAAATAGAAGAGCATGCGTTCTATGCCTCAGTGCCCTGTGTCAAGACTGTATTGAAGCATAAACTGAGCTTATGCAAAACATTTTTTGTTACCCTCTTTCACTTTTGAGTGACTACAGATTCTACCAAGGTGTGAGAAGGCAATTCTGTCGTTCCTCCCAGCAACCTAAAAAAGGCCACAGGGACACAGAATTGCTGCTCTCTGCCCTTTCTTTTCAGGGTGAAGATACATCCTTCCAGTGTTCTTTAGGTATGCAGGATTGCATACACTCAAGACTTCATAATTTTGCTCCCTCATGCAGCAGTGCATTCAACGTGTCTTTCATTTTGAAAGATCACTTTAATCTCATGGTTTCTGTAAGATCAGTGGAGCAAGAGCACTACTGATCAAATCTTGCAGCGTGGTTGCAATAGCAAGTATCAGGAAGTAACATGCCTTTCTTACCCTGATTGAACACTACTTCCTGCCTACAAAGGGGTAAAGATTCTAAATCCCAAACTTTGTAGTAAGGCTTAGTCCTCACAGGCATCTTGGAGCTACAGGGAGCTCTCTCATTCATTGCAACAGTTCTGGAACAAACTACACCAGCAGTGTTCAGACAGTGTTCTGCCACATACATCTCAGTAGGCTCATGTGAGCATGTCTGAGTATATCACCTGCTTCACAGGCAACTGTAACTAAGAGCATGAATTAGTTTCAGAACTGCTCTGTCAACATCTTTTAAACAGATTCAAATGAAAACTCCTTCCCACTCTTGTGAGAGATATTTCAAAGCAGTATGCAAACCCCCATGGTCCACGGGACACTGATGATCCCTGAAGCAGCTTACAGTGTCACTGCAAGATTATATTACAAATGCTCACGCTCCTAATGAACATCCAGAACTTCCTGAGAAACTGAACACAGAAAGCACGCTGTGTCCAGCAGAAAGCTTGCTGGCCACAGTGACCCAAGAGAGCTGCTGAGTGCCTGCCAAGCATCCAGCATCTTCAAGAGGTGCTAAAAGATCCAGACACTTGCAGTGAAACATCAGTGACTCTTTACATTTGCTGACTGTCAAAGTACTTCAGCTTCTGCGCTTCCAAATCCTTGGAAGAAGTGCGGTCTGTATCATGTTTTAGATTCAGCATCAGCCACGCTAAGAAGTGCAGGAAGTTCTGAGTTCTTTTGCACGCATGCTTGGTGCTCCATCCAGCATCGCTGTAAGGGGCTGAGCTTTGGCAGGAGCCACTGGAACTATGGAAGTGCAGCACACAACCAGCACAGTCATGGAAATCTACTTTCAGGAAGGCCGTTGTGTCAGCTGACATGCTGCTCAGATGGGGGCTTCTCGTCCAGCTTCTGTGCTGATGAACTCCTGGATGGAAACCAACAGCAACTTGTCTGTACATGTCTTGAGCTTCTGGCTCCCAGTTTGAGCCCTGATTTTTGCAGAAGGTTAATCTGCAGCTTGGCTGTATACTTGGCTGTGTCTGTATACTCTTGTGAAACAACAGGACTTGCAATAAGATAATTTTTTTAGATAAAATCAGCCAGGCCATAAAAACGTTCTGTTTGCTGCAACAGCCCTGTTACAAAAATAAAGCATATGAAACATCCAGTCCCTGATATTCTTCTCTCAGTTTTAAATACCAGACAATAGGGAGACACTGCAACCCCCAGGAACTAATATTAATGGGGTCCTTTCAATCCACAGATCAGCACATGAAAGCTCTGACACGCAAGAGGGACAGAAGAACTGCTCTGGCTTTTCTGTCCTGGGTACAAAACAAAGGCTGTTCACATCATACTATTGGCCAAATGACCTCCACGTTACAGCTCAACATTACCCACATGTTTGTTTCTTTTGGGACACAACTGCATGTAGGAGAGCTGAGGAATGCTACAGTACTTTCATCCCTAGAGGCACTGGAAACCCAAAGAGACCAGGTCTCGAGGTCCCCCTTCTAAGGAGGAATTGCTTTATGGGAGAGGTCCAACCAGCAAACTGTGCTCCTTTTCAGCCCCTATCATTCTACAATACCTTCTCAATACAGCCTGCTGTATGTGTAGCTAGTAACTATTTCTGTAAGTACAGACTGTATAAACTGCAGCTAGTAAATACTGTATGACATACAGTTCCTAAAATACCAGACATGACAGGGCTGTAGGGATTCACAATAGATGAGGGCAAGACATGCAGAGGAAGTGCAACAGATCCAACCTGGTACATGATGGGCTGCAAACCAACTCCACAGAGCATGCCCTTCTTCTCCACACAGCCTCTGCTTGGCTTTGCCTTCCCCATATCTGCTGCAGTAGTTGCCTGTATGTTTCAATACTTCAATTAATTACCAGCTTGTCAAGTTCAGGAACTATTTTACCTTACTCAAATAGTTTATTTAAAAATATATATATAATATTCTCCAATTCAGAAAAGGATAGAACTTCCCACAATGTAACATTTTTTTATATATATAAAATATTTATGCATTCAGTGAATGGAAACAGTTTTACTGTATACATTTTTAATGTTGTACTCTACGCAAATCTGCTTGACCTAAAAATATACCGTACTTCTGTAAATCCAAACAAGCAGGGAACAAACACCGTAGCTGTGCGTTGGGTTAAAATACCTAAAGAGAAATGATACGAAAGATTTAGGTCTGGATTTAAGAACTCACAAACAATGTTTTACTTTGCGAGTGCATAAATAGAAGACTGAATACATTCTGGCTCTGTTAAGCTGAACTGCAGTTACAAAATGCAAATATATTTATTCATTTTCAGTATTTCAGTGTTTCCAAGTCCACCATTCATGATAGTGTTAAATAAATCATGGTCCTATCCTTCCAAACATTTCAACACTCTTTAAAAAAACAAAAACAAACAAACAAAATTTTAAAGTGAAATGTCCTCCTTCATTGAAGTGTTAGATCATATTTTAAATTACTGCACTCCCACACAATAGTTTATATATATATATATATTTTAAATATATATATATATTTATATATATAAAGAGACCAAATAGGAGACTACATTTTTTACTGTCAATATGTTGAACATAGCATACTGCAGTTGTATAAAACATGCATTTTCTGGGATAATGATGAACGCATCATGAATGAGTCCACATAAACTCTATTTTTTGTACAACTCCCAAGTAAAAAAAAAAAAAAAAAAATCCAATTAAGTGCCTCTGAGGCCCTTTATTCCCAGCTATCAGTTCTCAAAACACACTACTGGAATATTTATCTATGCCTACAGCTATGTGCTAGAGAACCAGATTTAAAACTTTAAAATACATCTACAGTATGTATTAGTTTTCTTTAAAGTCTGTGACACTTCTTGGGTGTTGTGTTGTGAAATGTAAAAAATAATCACAGATTCTCTTTTTTTTTTTTCTTCCAGAAATAAACACACATCTAGGAGAGTATGCAAAAACAAGGCAAAATGAAGTTTTCATAGCACTTAATGAGGGTTAATATAAGTCAATAACTATATTGAGGTTTGTAAGAAGGGCTGGATGAGCAGTTACATGTATAAACACGTGGTCTAGTAAGTCCATTCTTATCAGACATTGTTTTTGTAACCAACACTTCTCCACCCTCAAAACCAGTCGATATACATTCAAAGTAAGTTGACATTGATATACCTACTAGGTGTAAAAATAGTGCACTATTTTTTCTGCCACAAAGCAAAATTGCATCCTAAGAGCTGGTAAACCTTTTTTTCCTTAAATACAGAGAATGGGCCAAAAAAAACTCGAAAAAAAAATTAAATTAAGGCAATTAGACAGGTAAAACAGGACTGCCCATGATGACGCAGCTGAAACTAGCATATACTTTGAACTAGCTGCTGAACACTGACATGCAGCTTTTGATAGACATGTATGAATGATATAAACTTCAACATTATGGCTTTATACAAGTGCATAGTTGCAACTGCAATAAGTAACGGTATCTGATTAATAAGCATAAAAAAATAAAGTGGAAAGATTTTTAAAACCCTCTTGCAGTATTACAGTACAATATATATACACAGTATAATGGTCACTTCTTACAGATGCAGTCTATATCACTACGATGGATCGTCCTCCTGTTCTCGCAGGCATGCTGGTGGCATCTTCATGAAAGCTGAGAAGTCACTTTCTTCAGTTTAAATACTCATTCCTCTCAATCCTTTTATGAAATGTAGTGTATGTGTCTTGCCGAGAAAGCTTTTGTGGAACAGAATTTGAAAGGTGACCTAACATATCCTTTTGCTATTTACCAGCCATTCCTCGTTTGATCAGTCACTCGGGGGAATACAGGAAAACCCTCAGAGATTAGTAATTTATATTGCAGCAAAAATGTAAACCTCTGATATATATAGCACAATCTCTCAGGAAAATATATATTTTTAATATATTTTGGGATATGTTTCAGTCTTGCTGTAACAGGAAGAAAATTATCACCTTGAGTTGCGCCTGCGTTCATGGAAAGCAGTTAGCTGGAAAAGAAGCAGAAAGTTTGGTCAGTACAGGCAGTGAATGAATGTGTGACAAGAACATACTTCCTCAGAATCCTTCTTTGAGATGACCTTATCAGTAAGCTTGGGAAAAAGTCATTCCTCTGCATTCAACAGCATCATAGTACTTTAGTACAACCTTACGCATTATGAGCCCAAAACAATTAATCCCCCTTGTAACATACGAGGGTAAAGTCCAAGTACATTCACACTGTGTTTTTAAGGTAAGCCATAGGGCAAATTAGATCAAGAACACAGCTGCATCTGTTCTAAAGCAGTCAAAGAAACCGCACCACAGAAGCTGCAAAGCCTGTTTGTTTACATAGTTTTATAACACATTGTTAGGTACCCAAAAAGCACAGCACTGCAAAGGAAAGCCAAGTCAAATTCACTTCATAACACAGGTAGAAAAAGCAAAATGCAGAACTGTGATTTCATGTCTGCTAGCCATGGACACATCAATTCAGGTTAAAAGCTTAAGAAAAAAATTATTTGTAAATAGCAATTGTATTTTAGGTAAATTCCAACTGTTACAACCTCCCTTTTTAGCCTTCAGTAATTGTTTGCAGAGGTTAGCAGCATTAGCACTACAGATGAACTACTACTCTGACAACAAGAGATGCTTTCTTTTGGGGCAGGCAGACATGAATTTTGAACAAAGATCTAAAATTAGAAAAATAAGAACACCGAAAAGGCAAAAACACCATTTTAATGGCTCCTCTAAAAGAATTTGACACCACAAAACAGAATCTCATTTTTACTGTGTAAAATCTCAAAATGAGATCTTGTACTTTTCTCTGCTTTGAGAATCAAAATCCAACATAGCATGCTGTATTCAAAGGCAAACAAATCCATTCCTCACTATTTAGATTTACCCCTTATACTTCTTCAGAAATCAAAAACATCGTCATCATCATCATCATCATCAATATCATCAACATCATCAAATGACCAATCCCAGTCTTTAAATGCCAGATCAAGTAATCTGCAACAGGAGGGTTTGATGTTTAATGTGTGTCACACTCCTACAAGAAGCTTCAAAATTCCATTTATTATCACTATAGCTTTTAAAATAACTGTCTTAACATAGATGGGCTCCTTCCTCTGCCTGCTACGGAGAATGAACATTCAATTGCTGTTCGGGGAGCCACAAATATTGTATTCAAAGGAGATTCATCACAAGTAATTAAATTCTACAGAACACTTACCGTATTGCTTGTTCTCCCCCAAAATTTCAGTAGAAAAGACCAACGCACACATTTCATAAAATTAGCTTCCTGTTTTGCTGCAGTTCTGTTGACCAACACGCAGCTTCATGCTCACCTACCATCCCTTTCAGATCTATGTCTTTTTAATAAAACTGAGTAATCTGGTTGTTGAATAGAACACTGAATAAAAGCGTCACCTGAGCTCACAAATACAGTGGGATTTTGCCATTTATCCTGAATACAGTGAGATCACCCTAGACAGATGTACTGTAGCCTCATTATTTTTAACTTAGGCTATGCCAAAAAAGAGGATGTATCAACTTGTTCTCTATGCATCACTGCCCATGCTCCTACAGAATGGAGAGCATATTATTTCAGCAAATGAGTCATTTCACTTATTTTAGGCACTTATGCTGGGATGGGATGAATCATTGTCTAGAGGCATTCATCTTTCTGCTACTATAGAAGGATTTCAGATGAACATCTGAAGTACTAACTCCTTAATGTACAGGAAATGAAACTCAATCTGGTCATTTTTCCAGTGAACTCAGGATTGAATTCAGGATTACATGCCACCTATATGAGGCAGAGATAGAAACCATACACTAAAGAAAAGCTTTAGGATGTTTTAAATATAACATGCTACAGTGTTTAGTTCAGTTAATTGCATCCTTTAAACAAAGCAGATTTCAGTTTTCAATGGCTTTTCAGCTTTTAAAGTTATTACACTTAAATTAAACTTCCAAACATCAGCCCAGGACCTCTGGGTTTTTTTGCAGTTAGGTCTTGAAAAACTCCAGCACCTCACTTCCAGTACTTCAAGGGAAGTCATAAACAGGAGGGAGAATGACTTTTTACATGGTGTGACTGTGGTAGGACTAGGGGGAACGGGAGATTTAGGTTAGATGTCAGGAGAAAATTCTTTGCTCAGAGGGCGGTGGGGCCCTGGCACAGCTGCCCAGGGAGCTGTGGGTGCCCACAGGCACTCAAGGCCAAGTCGGGTGGGTCCTGGGCAGCCTGAGCTGGTGGGGGGCCAACCCATGGCAGGGGTTGGGTGGGCAGGCAGTGTGGTCCCTTCCAACCCAAGCCATTCTATCATAAGGCTGGAGCCCACCCAGCCCCAATAGCCCTCTCTCTCTCCCTGACTGTCCTCTCTGGGAAAAAGCTTTTGTTTGTCTTCAGCTGGAATCTCTCCACAGGCCTAGTAGGCTTCCCAGAGCCAGCCCTCATCCAGGCTGAGCGAGCCCAGCTTACCAGCCTTCTCTTCACACTACAAGTACTCCAGCCTTGACCATCCTGGTGGTCTCTGCTGGACTTTCCACAGCTGGCAAAAGTCCTCTTTGAAGTATCTGCAGCAGTATCTCACCACATACTAGTGGAGAACAGAGGAGTGAAATCTCTTCCCTCAATTTGTTGCTCACCTCCAGCTTGTCCCCAGCTACTCATTAAGCTGGCAACTAGGTTTTCATTCTCAGTAATCTTCATAATGGAAAATGGAAACCTCATGGAAGCAACAGTCAGATGCTAATTGGTTATAGCACCAACAATGATTTTTAGGTATGTGGTTTCTAATTAAAAGTATTTACATCCATACAGATTTCCACAGGTTTGACAAACCTGCATTAAGGCTAAATGACCTCATAGAATTACAGTTTTCCACTTGTAACTTCTAAGCTGCCAGGTACATTTGAAAAGGCAACTTGAAAATTTTAACTACATCCATAAAATCGTTTACACACCAATGTATCCATCCTCCTCCTTCTCCCACCATCATGAAATATGAAATATACAGACAGAGAATATATGGATAGAATGAAATGAGGAAAAAAAGAATCACCAGCTGAATGGAGGAGGATCACAATAAAAAGAATGGGAAGAGTAGGTACTGTTATGAAGGCATTTAGTAAAAAAAACATCATGAAGATTGAAATAAGAATGGTGTAACAAGAAAATTTTCTTTCTGAGCAATTAAGGATAGCTATGGAAAAAGAATCAGAATTTATTAAATACCTTTTATATGTCAATAATAAGAAACAAAATAATGCTAACCAACCAGAATATGGAAATACAGAAGCATAGTTTTACTTGTCCTCCAGTTTGCCATGAATAATGTTTCATTGATTTGTGCTTCAATCCAATTACTGCTATTTTGGCTAGTTTTACACCAAGAATCCCTTCGGTAATCATTCCCTAAAATGGAACAATTAAATTCTTCACTTTCATGGATAGAATTAAAAAAAAAGTAATCATTTAAAATTCAAATTATAAGGTCAGACTTTCTTTTAAAGTATGTGAAGTAAACAATCAAAGATTTGATAACATGGAAATTAGGAGGAAAGTTATATTGCTTTGAGTCCTTTCACTATGCATTACCACACATTAAATTTTACTGCACTTTTTTTTTAATATCCAAATCTTCCTACATAGAGCTGTTTTGTGATTTCAGTAGCATCACAATACAGTGGAGCATGATTACACTGCATTCCCTATTGTAATTCTGTTGATTCACCCAACCCTGTTTTCAAGCAGCCAGCTGAGATACTGGTGATAGTCTGATCACAGAAACAAGACCAAAACGTCACTCCCAAGTTATCTCTCAAAGGTGCAAAGGTGAAAAACAATAACAACAATAAAAAATAAGCCTTTGTTGAACTGGCCATTGCTGCTGTTATATGGCAACAAAGAAAAGAAAGGCGGATAGATAGAAATTTACACAGGGTGTCAAAAACTGGAGATTAATACAACCAAGTAATAACTTCATAACCTTTACTGTTCTTTCCTCTTTAATAAACCCAGCAGTATTCTAGGCGATGAAAACAGCACACTGAAAAATCCAGAATACTGTGCAGAATACTGTGCAATCACTTAAATGCTACCTGCTAAATGTTATCACTTCTATGGCTACAGCATAGGATTTTGCTCCTTAAAACTAATCCAATAATAGAACTCTGTTTTTTATAGACATTTATTTCCCACATGAGAGCAACGTGACAGTAAGACTGCTCTTTTAGGAAACATGAGACGGGAGCATGAGTATTTCTGGGCTGGGTAAAGAGCTGAAACCAACTCTCCCACCCTTTGGCAAGTGTTTTAGCTATTTGACCAAATGGTGACCATCACTTCATGTCTACTTGCTCTCTTTCAAAAAGAATGATTGACACTCAGATGGATGTCTACCAGTGCAGAATATGGCACCACACTGTGAAACCTGCATGGGCATAGATGCAAAAGAGAGATTCATCTGAATAACCTTGTGCTGTATGTGTTGAAGAGCACTCTATGCTCCCTTTCTACTTTCTCCTTTTTATTGGGATAACACAAATTCAATCTTACAAACAACTCTTCCTATATATGACTCTGTAAGCAGAGTTAGACATAGATACATTTGGTCAGATGAATCACACTCTAACACAAAAATCCTCAGTGATGTTTCTAACATTAGAGTGGGGCAGGAATTCAAACACATTCCTCCAAACCACCCAGCAAGAAAGAAAAGACATGCATTCTTTTGCTATGCGTAAGCTCTTCTAGATTGCCTTTTGAAGGCACCCAGTTCTCTCCAAGGTTCATTAGAATGACAAGTACTTAATGTCATAGCTTAACTTTTAATCAGGTACAGTTTTGTTTCCTTAAAAACCTCACAACCCTCTTAATGACTCTTGACATATCTAAGCTTCATATTCCCTACCAGCTTCTAGTTCACAGAAACAGTAGTAACATATGTTATCAGTAATGGTAGGTTAAATAACAGATAGTGCAATGTCCTTTGAACGAGTAAACAAACATAATGATGGTTCTTATTACTTACATGAGGTTTACAGAAGATGACATACTAGATTACATATCAGTGGTTGCCAACATTGTTGTCAACTACTGATATCAACATATATCACATTAATTGCAGTAAAATGTTTTGAACAATAAAATACATAGCAGCTCTCGTGTTACCTTGGTTTGTTTGGAGGAAGCTGTCGACTTGGTCGTCTGATGGACTGGTTTGGCTGTACCTTCATAGAAGTTCTGGGAGAAGATCTAGCAAAGGGGTCTGGTGCTGGAGGTTTCTTGGGTATTTTTTTCACCAGTCGGCTCACCCATTTTTGCTGTTCTTCTGTAGAATTAGCTAACAGTAGTAGATTCTTCGCCGTTGAAATATCATAATACACTGTAGTAAGAGTTTTTCAAATAAAAATTAATAATAATTGTTATTTTTCTTAACATGTCCCCTACATAAAAAATTTCACTAAATATCATCCATTTCCTAAAACTCACTATTGCTTCACTCAGCAATGCTGCACAACAGTGTGAGCAGTCTTACAACTATGCTCTACCTGTGTGATGCTGACAACACAGCAGGTATGAAGCCATCCACCCACATGGCATTCACGCATAACAGTGAGCTGATCCTCTTGTAGACACCTTCAGAAAATTTTACATACCCACTGAAGAAAAACCTACCTCTTGAAGTTTAGTTGGTGTCACAGATAGGACCCTGTGATTCATTAGCATGCCTTGTGACTCCAGCAACTATACACATACTCAAATATCTGCTAATTACCTTTGCAAGGTGCTATAATCTCTTCTTTTTTATCCATATGATCTTTGTGACATTTGATATGGCAACGGCGACATTCCAGAGCAGGAGGAGGTTTAAACATATGCCAAAGAGGCTTCATACAAGCTTCACAATTGGTTGGAAAGTGATAAAGAGTAGGTATAAACTCATGTCCTTTGTGACAAATATAATTTGACTTCTCTCCCATAGGCTCCACAGGAAATTCCTGCTCCTTTTTGCTCTCTCCTTCGTTAGCATATAGAATCTAGAATTAAAGCATAATAATCTCAGAACTCCTTTATTACAAAAACATATTCAGAATAATTCCTGAATTAGAAAAACCAAAGAATAACACTGGAATAAATATTTTCAACAACTTTGAAGTAAAAGCTTCACTTAGACAAAGTTAGGGGAATATGTTTCAAAATATGGTATGTGATGTATGTTACACTATAAACATTAATTTATTATTGAATACCTGGAATATCCTTGGAATTTCCTTGGCATCTGCTCTGTACACATCAGTTTGGGTGACTGGTCGGACATGGAATAGTTTGCTGTAAGAAATTGTTTCAATAAAGACAAAAATTAATGTCATCAATATACAAGCAATAATCCTGTCTTTCAGTCCTGCACACGGATTTCCAAGCCCTAAATAAACACAAGTCACAAATATACAGCTGTATTTATGAAAAAAAAATGATAGCAATGAAAAGCTGACTTCAGTGATTGCTGGGAGCTTTCTAACACAATCCTCTGTTCAGACTCCAGCCTTCAAATAGCCAAAATCTGTATTTGTTAAGGAAATAAATTAATTATATAACCCACCTATAAGCATGCATTGTAGTGAAAATGTACAAACACTGAAAACTATAGCCTCTCAGCTACAGATTTCTTAACATTTCTTGCTACAGTGTGTGTGAGATATGTCTAGCTGAGCTAGTGAAAACACTTCCCTTATGCCAGTTGAGCGCTCTGTGTTGGCTAACAAACATCTAAACAGAGCTAAGTGCAAAAGTACACTCCAACTGGCACTGTGATACCAGACCACATCTTTCTAAAAGGCCTTTCTGACAAAGTCCACCTGCAAACCAGAGGAAGCAATCTTGTGTGCTAATACTCACTCTATGTCTAATACCATATAGGGATTGGATTGCTCTTTATCTTGTTCGCTGTCGTAGAACAGGATCTTCTTACTGCTTACAATTACATACTGTTAGGAGGCAGAAAAGAATAAAACATACATTATAATCCAACTGATCACATCAAAGATGTGACAGAAATATTTTTCTACAGTTTCATTGAATGGTAGCTAAAAGCATCATAGTAGTACTGTATCTTGACTCCATACTTTGTCAGTAAATTAACTGCACTTTGAAATTTTACTACCTGATGCATTAGTTTACATTGTCATATTAGTTGGTACTTAAACAAATGTAAGCATCTGTGAGGAGATCAAAATGAAAGTAAGAGAGAGATTAACTCAAAAATTTTTAGTTTCTAATTTACAGATTTAATTTTCTCTCAGAGCAGCAGCAATTATCATCTTAGGATGCCTATTTTACATGTGCAGCTCACAACTAATAGGCATCACACTCACAAAGTTCAGAAAATCAGGTACCCCTAAGAACTCAAATTTCTAGAACTTTATCCAGAATGAACAGTTTGACTGAGCAAACTGATATAAAGGGCATCAGTTTCTCTTTGGGCAAAGACCACCAAAGAGGCTACTGAAAAGCAATCAGCAAGTGAGGGTTGCACAGAGCAGATGCACAGCCATTAGTTTTCTCTCTTAAACAAGGAATTTGTGAAAAGCATGTTTCCAGTCTATAATGAGTTCTAGCTACATGATGCTGTTGAGAACATACAAATGTCTGAAGTCTGTAAGCAGCTGTTTTCAGCTCTGGTAGGACAAAAAAAAAAAGCCTTAACAGAATTATATGTTCAGAGAATGGCTTAGGTTGGAAAGGACTTCTGAAGTTCATCTGGTCCAACTTCTGTAACCCTCAGACATAGCTACATATAAGCTACTATACTTTTTATACTTTTATACTATACACTTAAGTAATTACAAGAATACGTATTGAAGAAAGTGCTGAAAATCTGCAGCGAAAATAAAATCCAAACTACACATGAAACAATAAGAGATTGCAAAAAGAAAATTGTTGTATTATTATTGTTTACCTTTTTAACCCAACCAAATTTTTTAGTGTTATTTCGAACAGGTAGCGATAACCAGCCTTCCAATCTTGATTCTGGAAGAACAAAACAAAACAAAACAAAACATACAGTGAAGAACATAAGTATTTGCAAAACATTCTTTTTGAGCCTACTGTGCATTTAAAAATATGCACTGAAGATCAATAAAAAAGTAACAGAGCAAAGCTGAGAACATATAACATCTGGCAGAGTTTATCACAGTAAATTTTCAGAAATCAATTAGTGTATTCCCCCATACAGCAACAACAAACACTGTGATTACAATAAACTAGTAGGTAAGAGGAAGAAGGGGAAGAGCAAACTTGCAGTGATACCACACACATTCCCTTAATCATTATTACTGTTATTTCTAAAGACTTTTAAAAAAGTCTATCAACCTTTAAGACTTAGAAGAATGTTTCTAAAGATATTAGTAGACCACGCAACATCCAATTATATATAAAAGACAAAACAGAGCAAAGTACCACCACCAATAAGCCTATAAATAAACCTCTCTACTCGGGGTAAAATTTCAGAAGTTTTATATTCTAATTCATATCTTTTTTTTTGCACTATGAATTTCTCCATATTTCTAATTGTGCCTAAATCTCCTAGAATTTCTATTCCAGAGTAAGTAATTTTTGGCTAAGCCCTAGTCCTTGCCTAAATTCAACTGCCCTTTCTTGTGATATTTAATGCTACACCATTGCACCAGTCAAATGCCCCATCCCTGGAGGCATTCAAGGCCAGGCTGGATGTGGCTCTGGGCAGCCTTGTGTGGTGCCTGGTGACCCTGCACATAGCATCTAGTTGAAACTAGATGATCACTGTGGAACTTTTCAATCCAGGCCATTCTGTGATTCTATATTCTATGATACGATATGATTCTATGACATCTATCTACAGCATTAACTCCTCAACTGTTGTTTGATGTACACATTTCAGTAGTAACCCAAAGCCTGCCAGGATCAAACTTCCCATGCGCTCAGTGACACGCAGTATCTTGTAGTCTTAGACACTATTTTTCACAGTACCCCTACATATAGCAGTTTCTATCCAGTGTGGGAAGGAATTTTCCCCTTCCCTCTCTGAGTTAAAAATTCTGAAGCCATTAACATTGACAACCATTATACCGTTAAAGGACATGCCCTGCAACTGCAAAAGCTATTTTCTTTCTCAAGAGAGGGCACTGGCAGACTTGTGCCCACATTTAATGTAGGTTAACAAACAAAGATTAAGGTATTCGTAGAATTTCTGTTATGCCTACAGAGACTTGAAGAATATTCCAACATTTTCCCAGTATGTTTGTAAGCATCAGGAAGAAATAAAACCCCACAACATCCTATCTCCAGTCTGCTGTTAGAAAATAGCCCTAGTTTAGACATGATTGTACTTTAGAACAAAATAAAACCATGCACATACCACAGCAACAGCTAACAAGGAAATATTATATAAATACTTAGTGATTCTTTTAGCAGAGAATGAAATAAGCAGAAGACAGGCATTATGCTTTACTCCAGTTTGAGGAAATAATGTCAGTACTCCAAAACAAGTTTTGCCTTTGATTGAAAGACATTCACAACTTAGAAGTGCCCCATGTAAAATACAGAAATATGAATGTAATTAGAAAATCCCATCTCTGACATTAACACTAGGCAGAAATGTTACTCAAGACAGTGCAGTCATATGGAAAGGGCACAGAACTAATGAAACAAAGTTCTGTTTTACCAGAGCTGTATAATTTCATTATATTCTTTATGCATCAGGAAAAACAAATTTAAATAAATTTTATTTTCCTTACAAAAAAAAAATTGAATGTAAGATTCAATGCAAGGAACAAAAAAAGTTAACATTCAGAAGATTGAATTTCTATGACCAAGCAATGTACATTTAGAGTGTGAGGGCTGACATATCTCAACACTTCAGTGAAACACAAAGATTTGACTTTCTGGTATCCTAGGGTCATGCAGATAGCTGAAGATAGTGGGCATAGTCTTCCTCAAGATCAAGACAATAAGGATTTATACAATGCTTTAATAAGAATAGGGGTTTATAAATGGCAATGAGCATCTATAAACATTTAGATAAAACAAGCCAATTACTTCATGTAAATTTTTCATGTAATTACTTTGCTTACTGCCATTTTTTTGAAAGTCATGTATTAGTAAATGTTAGTTTTGAAATAGAAAAAAAGGAGCAATAAAGACAACACCGAGCATGTCTCAGGGATGTCACCTGTGCTATCAACTTCTGTAGGGCTGTGAGAACAAGACAAAGGTTCTTCTTCTGAGTCAGAATCAGAATCGAGAAGCATGCGAGAACTGGAAGGCTTAGTGGCAATACTGACAGAGGTGGAAGAGTGCTTGTAGGTAAAAGACATGGATTCCATAGTGTGGGACTGAGTGATATGGACTGAACATAAAGAATAAAGGAGGAAAAAGGTAGAAAAGAAGTCAAAACAGTGTCCCTAAAAAGAGTGTTAGTTTTACATTTAATCACATAATAATTGCAAATAGACCAGTATAATAAGATGAAAAAAGGATTAGTTTCAATGTCAGACAATACTGTTTTTTAAAGAAACATCTTTAAATAAATTTAAGAATGAAGTATGATGACTGATAGAAGTAGTTAGTGCATGGATAGTGAACTCTATCAAAGCATTGGTCAGTGATAGAAACACATTAAGATAAAAAGCCCAGATATATCAAATACTTCAGTTTCCATGGTAAAACAGATAAAAAACCCAATTCAAATAGGAATATTAATATGAATAACATACCAGGGAATCCATCGTCTGCCTCAGCATCTCCAGGCCCGCTGCCTATGCTGCTGTTGTCTAGACCAATGTGTAATGACTGTAGTTGTGACCGAAGCTGTTCAATGTCACTGTCTTTGCTGTCCAGAGTCATCTGGAGCTCAATTCGTATCTGACTCTCTTCTGCTATTTGCTGTAAGGATAAAAATAAAGGTTTCCTATTGTCATGATACTCTGCTTCTCAAAGAAAATTTGAACTTAAAATTATGGAGGTTTTGCAGTCAGTCTCAATACATGTGCTGCATCTTTCTTTCGATTGAGGAAATTCAGGAATAGAGACTGTATACACTACCTTACAAGACCGAACGATTTCACTAAGCATTACAGAAAATGGTATCAATGTTTACACTTGTTAAGAGGATCTTACTGCCTGCATTTCATTGATTTCTTTCTGATACTTGATCATCATTTGTGTTAACTTCTCTCGTTCAGATTTCAGTTCCATATGCAGTTTCCTATTTTCCTTCTCCTTCCGCCGTACATCGGTGTCAGCTCCACGTTTGACTGGACCCTTCCGATTCATGATCTCAGCCAATTTATTCACAGCCTTCCCATGAGGGAAACAGAAGCAAAAAACAAACAAATAAATACAGAGCTATGCTGCAGAGAAATAGTCTTCTCCACTACCTGTGATCAAGCATTTTTAATCTGTGAACTAAGATCTCTGCATATCTGGTAGTAGAAAGTTACTTGCATTAATCAAAACTGAATAAAGGTAATGCTGCCATTTTCACTTTAAACAAATGTTTCTTTAGAAGACTTCTACTCATTTAAATGCTCTTCAGTTTCAATTAGCTAGTGGATGAAAATGCCACTTACTGTTAAAAACATCTGATATGAAAATCAGAATTAACATTTTATGGTAATTACAGAAGAACCTAAATCAAGTGAAAAATTCATTTGACTGAAATCAAGACTTATGTTTTTGGACTGCATGAAGATTAGGACTTTCTCTGCAATAATAGAAGAGGATGCAATTTCACTACTTAGCAGAGGCAAAAAAAGAAAAATTTGACATATTTTACTTTATCAGGAAAAGAATGAAGTGCTACGTTTTTTAGTAAAAATATGAACACTTCATTATTAAATCATCGACACATTTCTTTGGATATATTTGCTTACCTGGGTTTTCAGTGTTCTTTCATTCAACAGTTGTTTTTCAAACTGTGCTTTAATATTTCCTATATTTGCTTCTTCTTCTTTTAACTTCGCAATTTCTGTAACACGGTAATTTAAACAAACAAACACAAAGATATAAATGAAAGCACATTACAAAATAAAATAGAATTTTTAGAACCAAACTATAGGCATAACGAATTGTATTTGGTTCTGAGAATACATACGTTCTTGTTCCTCCTTCAGTTTATTGTTTAGTTCTTCTTTCTCATTAGCAAGATTAGCCACGTCGCTTGTAAGTGTTCTATTTGCTTCCTCCAACTACAAACAAAAAGTACATGTGACCATATATCTAAAAATCAATGACATATGAAAACACTACAGCACAGAAGGAGATGCTTCAGACAGAAACCAGAACAAGTGTAAGATGACTAGCACAGGGGCACAGAAGAGATACAGGGAAGAAACAGGGTACAAGATACATATATATATATATATATATATTTATATTTAACTAGTTAATTCAAAGAAAATAAATAGTTAAGTGTGTAACATATTTAAGTATGCTAAACTACAATGGATAACTCAAACTGCAAATGAAACTCATGCTCACGTACACCCCTACCAAAATAATGATGTATATTACTCACAGAGGCTATGGTGGCATCCTTCTCAGTAAGCTCCTGTTTATGCCGAGCCATCATTTCTTTAATCTCCAGTTCTTTCATAATCTTCTCTTTTTCCAAATCAGAGTACTGTTCTTCAGCAATGGAACGTGCAAGTTGTTCTGAATCTGCTTTTGTCAAAGTGATTTCTAGCTGTGCTGCCAAGGAATCTCTGCAAATTATTGATACGTACTGTTAACTCAAAAAATGGGAGGTTACTTAAAACAAAACAAACAACAAAGCAAAATAAAATAAACCACCAAACCCCACCTGAACAAAAATAAGAGAAAGCTACCCTGATCTATATGTTAACAGTACAAGCAGTACCTCTCATCCTGTAACTCTTGTATCTTTTGCTGCATCTCTTTACAAAGTTTGGTCTTTTCCTCACATTCTTCTTTAAGTTCTCGAACTTGTGTCTTATACAGGGTCTAGAATTTGAAGTAGGAAAGAAAAGGATGTGACTTACATAACCTAGCTCGAAGGCACACAAAAATTGATACAAGAGGACATGGTATGCTGTTCTTTAACCATATGCTCAGTTCAAGCATAACTATCCAAAGCTTCCTCTACATTTAAGTGAAGGTCATTGAATGTAATAATGATTCCCAAATATTATTTGCTTTATTTTTTTGTTGTTGCTATTTTCTTGGTGTTCCCTTGTTTTTTCAAACAACAACAAAATAAACTCACTCTCCTCCCCCCCCCAAAAAAAATTCCTGTGTATTTGGATCAGGTAGATGAATGAAATCTAATTTATACATTTGTAAGCATACTGTATAAAACTGGCAAACTGAATTTTCTTTTCTCTATTTTAAAATAGAAACAGAAATAGATTAGGTAGAGCTTGGATTTTAACCATACAATTGCACTGTAACAACATGAGAGCCCAAGAGGAAAAAGACAAAAGAGGAAGAGAAAAATAGGTCAGGGAATACAAACCTCGAGCTATACAGGAAATTAAAGAAAAATTACACTGCTCTGTATGCTAAGAATGGCTGATTGACAGATAACTGCCAGTGGATTTAGTGCAAGGCTTTCATGACAAAGTCTCTCAGGATTCTCTCTCTGGTCCATCCAGAGCAGTCAGCTGACCTGAACCTTCCTTTTTTTCCTCTCCTTTGACATGTGCAGTTTTTGACCAGCTACTCATCCTCCTTACTGATATAAAGACCACAGTAAAAGCGTGAGTTTCCTTCAATTCTCAAGCAAGACCCTTGGCCTTTTCTTTTAGTATGACTGGCTGTGCACTATTAATTTAAGTTAACCTTTATATGTTAGTGATTATTTCTAACAATCCCTAGTTGTTGTGCCTATTACACTGAAGCAAAATCTCTCAATGGATCTTTGCAAAGTTTGGTTATTATCCAATAACTTTCTTCTAAGCCTTAAATGCATGTGTTTGGTAATGCCATATGATTGTTTCAATACAGCTTCAATGCTGCCTGGACCAGATGCTGAATGCAAAAGTCTTGAAACGTCCAGAAAATTATTTGCATTATGGAATGAGCTGCTCAACTTCTTCCTTCCCTTAACCTGTGCTTGGGATGCCCTTCCAAAGCTGGTCCATTTCTTAATATGAACTCTTTCGTTCCGCTTAGAGATCAAGAGCAAGGAGTGGTAACAGGGCTGCAGTCAAGAATGAAGGCAGACCCAGGAAAAAGAATTAACTTTGAATTAGAAGGATGAAGTGCTTCATGGCTGAGAGAAAGAGAAAAGGTAACGTTATATCTAATGAACAGACTGGTATAAAAGTAATGAAGCGTAATACATACTGAGAAATACTGCTCAGCTTCAAGTTGGTCTTGAAGCTCTTTCATTTGTCCATCTGCATCTTGACGTTCCCTAGAAAGTAATAAAATACATTAAAGAAAAGATATGAAGATTCCAAACAAGAAAATGTTTGGATGCAAGAAATGGCTGCATTCACATTCTTTATATTCTGCAGTTCAACCTGAGTCTTTGTCAGTTTAATACAGTTAGCATACTAGCTACAACAGTGTCACTGATAAAGCAAACAGCCACTGATAGAATGTTATTTCCATGTAAAACACCACTGATCTGACAGATTGTTTTGGGTTTTGCTAGAGAAGAGTCTCTGAGAACTTCTTTGTCAGGAATCACTTCTTGAATTCACCTATTAAAATAACTCAGAAAGTCACTCAGTCACATAAAAAAAAAGATCAGCAAGGTAGCAGAAAAGATTTCCACCATTATTTTGTTATGGCAGTTGCCACATTCAGCTTTCTGTGTGATTAACTGCATCTTGCTTGAAGAAAAGATGAATCAAAACATAAGCTTTCAGAAGTCATAGAAGACCAAAGCCTAAGTTACACATGATCTACACACTCAATTTGTTTTTTTTTTTTTTTTTTTTTTTTCTGTCACAGGAATGTTGCTGGTGTAATTTTTTAAATAGTTATTATTTAAATAGTCAAATTATTCACTGTAAGAACCTGAAGAATTGCTAGGACAACACAATTCCTGTCTTAACTCCTCCAATTATTCTGAACTCCTCCAATTATTCTGTTCTCCCCACCCCCCATTTTCTTTTACACTTTCTTCTCTTATTTTAGGTTTTCAGCACAAATCTTGAAGATCAATGGCTTTTACGAAAACTACAAATCAACAATATTTCAAAAAAAGTAAAATAGAGCAACTCTGCTCACTTGCGGAGTTCATTATTTTGTTTCTCCAGACTTAATTTGATTTCCTGAAGATGGTTATTCTCCTGTTTTAGCTGCTTCTCTGACATTTTTAAGGTGTTGACCTGTTGTGTTTGCATCTTGAGGTCATTTTGAGTGAGACAACGCTTTTGTGTTTCTTGCTCTATTTTTAAAGTCAGGTTTTTAACCTACAAAATAAGCAGAAACCTGAGGGTTAATAATCTACACAGGGAAGTAACATGCAAACAGTGTTTCTTATTGACACTTCCTATATAATTTGCTCCAAATCTAATGCCTCCTATTTATTTCCATGGAAAGTACAGAAAGTGAGAGGAAAATCACACTGTACAACAGAGGAAATTCTCATCTACTACTTTTCAACATCACCACCACCACCACTAGCTGTGAATTTTTGCAAGTGATGAACAAGAGTTCATACTACATTCACAAAAATCTGCACTAGTGGAGGTGACTGTTTCTCTGCTGCTACGACAGGATTGTTGCTAGGAAAATGCTACCCACGCTGTCCATCTTTCATCGGCCCAAACAGATGTAAGTCAGAACATGTCAAATCTGGACTATATACAGTGTGTGTGTGGTAGGACGGTCCAGCTAAGACTGGCAATGTGTTCCATAGTCTTCAGACTGGTATGGAGCCTGGAGTTATCTTGTTGCAGGAGAAAGATTGTCTTCTCTGACCTGACTCTGTAAGTTCGAGCTGTCAGCTTAGTCAGTGTTGCAATGTTAAGGCCAGAGGTGATGGTTTGTCTGTGTTCCAGGAAGTCCAGAAGTATCACTGCTTTCCTAACCCAAAAGACAGGGCACATCAGTTTACCCACTGAGGGCTGCATCTTGAACTTTTTTTTCTATGAGGAATTCACATGTTGCCTCACCATGGACTGCTGTTTTGCCTCTCACTTGTAGCGTGACACCACATCTCATCACTGGTAATGATGTGATCCAGGAAGCTCTCACCTTTGGCCTTGTATTGGTTTAATAGGTCTTGACAAAGTTGCACACAGTTGTTCCTTCTCCTCCTGTGTGAGCATTCGTGGGACTCACCCAGTGTAAACTATGCAATATTACAATGCTGCCGCTAATGTTTCAAATGCAGTGAAGCCAATATCCAGCTCCAGACACAATTCCCTAATTGTAATCCTCAGATCAAGATTCATTCTGTGGTACAACAGCAGTGCATGGCCATCTTGAATGTAGCTTAGCTTCAACATCACTGTTGCCACCGCGGAAAGACACCAACCACCACCTTACGAGCTCACATCTGCTGTTTGACCTCCAGAAACATTCAGCAAGTGTCAGTGAATGTCAATGGGTGCATTTTTTTCTGCATGGAGGAATTCCATGAGCCTTTGCTTCATAAGCACTCCCATGACAAATGGCATTTTGTCAGACTGCACCTGTTCTGCCACCTGTCACATGGCAGAAATGTTCCACCTCTACTGCTATACCACCAACATCCACCTATGACATTGTGGGTCAATACAATAAAATAGGAGGTATTACTTTTGGAGCAATCTTCATACATTATTGTATAACATGCACACATTTTTTAATAGATAAATCCATTTCCTGAATAAAGTTATTAGTTCACAATAAAAACCTAGTCTTTCCACGTGTCAATTTCTTAGCATTTTACATTCCAGAATAAAAACTTTGATATCAATAATGCTGGAAAATGAAACCACTCTGTAAAGTTGACTTTTTAAAGCTCCAAATGCAAAGAAGTAAGAATTACTGCCATTTATATTCACAAATACCCTAAATATGGCTGTAACAAAAGGAAAATACAAAGACATTTAAAGCTAGCTTCCACTTAAGACTTCTTTTGCCCCCGTTACATACATCTTCATTTAGTTTATCCTTTTGCCTAAGGAGTTCATTTATTTTCTGCTGTGATTGTTTGAGATCACAATCCAACATGGAGCGCTGCTTTTCAGCCTCTAACAACCGATTTTCCACTTTTTGCTTCAAAGCTCTCTCTTCCAAAAGTTTCTTCTCCATTTCTGTGAAGAAAGAGATTTAAGGTCAGCCTGCAAATGAATCACTGTATAACAGGGAGTTTAAAGGGGTGAGGGAGGTGAGGAAGAATATCTACCCACACTAACTAATGGTTGTCAGTTATGACAGAGACTGCTGAAAAGTGGTTCATTAAATTTTTCACGGTAAACTGTGGAAAAGCATCCCAGAGGATTCTTTGCACACATTTCTACCTGAGAACTATTACTTACTCTTGAGTTTCAATATAAATTCCAGTTTATTTTCAATATATTTGAGAGGATAAAAGAGTGGCTTTCCTCTTAAAAAATATTTTCTACCTATAGATCAAGTATTGCTTTGACTGTGATAATCTGAAATCAATTAGAGAGTTGAAGCTGTTGAGAAAACTGATGGACCAAGTGACTCATATGGTACATCTGAATCTTTCTGCTTTTTTGGAACATCTGCAAGCTCAACATTTTTGTTAATGTTCTGCATTTGGAAGGATAAGATCCGTAGGTTATTTTTTAAGCACTTGGAGTAAACATAAGCAATTTAATTCAAAAATAAGAACCATCTTCTGGAATCATCTACTAATTATCCCTCTCTCTAGGACATTTTAATTGTTAGGAGATACACCAGAATATGCACGGTGACTATGGAAGCCTAGCAAAGGCTTCACTATGTCTAACAATATCTAGTAATCTATTTAAATTTTTAAGCTGTTGACATATATTTTATTTAGAAAGAGATTTAACAACACTGACAAAGGACACACATAATCTTCTGAAAATCTTTCCAACAGTTTTAATAATATAAATTTAATAATACCCTAGCTCAGAATACCGTAACACAGAGAATGGATTAGTGATGTTGGCAACAGAAATTCTGTTGTACTCAAAGAGACTAAAACTGCCTGCCTTTAACCTAGAAGATCATAAACAGGAGGATTACAACTGATTTACAAAGCTAATTATTTTTAAAAAAGAACAGGGGAATGGAGAAAACATAACTACGTTTAAACTTCTACTATCATTAAAAAATTCTATTATCTACCCTCAATAATTTATGCTTAAGTCTAACTGTGATGTCAAATACAGACCTTTCATGGCTTCAGATTTTGCCTCCTCTATAGATTCATAAATCTTATTTTTGTCTGCCAGTCGTGCTTTTGTGGCTTTATGTTCAGCTTCCTCTTGCTCAAGGTTCTGCTGCATAACTTTGAATTTGTATGTCATATCTATTTCCATGTTGCTCTTTTCCTGTTAACCAAGAAAAGGGCATTAAAATAAAATATTAAATACATCAGGTTAGATACGAAATTCCAGACAACAGTAACATACTGCTTGGAAGTATGAAGAAGACACAGCACAGATCCTAAGGTCATTGGAATTCACTTCTACTACCCATGGAAAAGCACTGATAAAATGCTCTAGAAGTATGCAGTGAAATTCCCAGTTGCAAAATATTATAGAATTTATTCTAAAAAATATTAGCAAAGCTTTTTTTTTTTTTTCCTAATAATTTCTGGCAATACTGAGAGTTTAAAAAGGTCAGATTTCATAGCAAAAATGAAGTGCTACAGCTTCATGATTAAGCTATACATTGGTGTACATTACTGTAAACTTTACAAATATAGTGAATTGAAATCATAAGGGAAATGAGGTTTTCTTTCCCCACTTTTCAAACTTCCAAAACAATGAGAAAAATCCACAGAAAAAGAACTGATGCTGAAAACAAGGCTTAATTTCTCAAACTTTGTCTCCATGTCTCAATTAAGAAAATCCCAACCGTAAGAATCTCACAGGAATGTACCACAAATGTTCACTAGGAACTGCTGTTACCTTTTCTAAATCTGTAAGTTTTTCCTGCAATTGCCTTTTCTCCATTTCTAGTTTGGCTAATGCACTCTTTCCATTTTTCACTTCTTCTTCCAGGCTCGATATTCGACCTAAAAAATGAATGAAATATTAATGAGGCTGGGTAGTCTGTGAAAAAACATGTACTGTATCTACTTACTGATAAAAAGCTCTGGTTCTAATTGTTAAGATCTTCACAGTGGTTTTAGAAATCAGTAACACACTTTCATCTTAAGTATCTCCCCACTTGTTTTCTCTGTAATGCATGTTCTAACTTAAACAGCATTGAATAAAACAGCTCTCTAATTTAGTTTCTGTCTGAAACTCAAATAACATTACCAGAATGTGTTTTTATTTCTGAAACCAGAAATAAGCTTAACTTCAGAACACTTGTTGCAATACCTTGTAAATCACTGATAATCTCTGATCCATGACTTCGATCTCTCCTTTCTGATTCTAGAGCAGACTGAAGATTGAGAAAGTCCTTCTCCAGTTTGAGTTTAGCATTCTCTAGCAGGCAGTTCTTATCCTGTAGTTCTCGATTATTAGCTTCCAACTGCTGGATTTGCTTTGTACTTTCAGTCTGGTTCTTCCTTAGCCTGGCTGCAGTTTCAGACTCCGACCGCAGCAAAGAATTGGCCTCATCCAACTAGGATTGATAAAAAGATACTTTAGACTAACAATTAAAATGTAACATCTACCACCGCCTTAATAAAATATTAGATTTAACAGATTAAAGAAATAAGGGGGTATTTCAAGATGACTTTTGAATATGAATACATGACAAGAAAGAAAGCTTATAGAATTCCATTACACTTTCAAACTCCCATCATTACCAACAAAATCTGAACTTCAGAAAGCGATTACTTTAAAATGTACATATATAAAGTTGGCCTGCCTGTCTTTGTAGTTGATTGATTTTCTCATTGGATATTTGAGAGTTCTGATTCCTCTTTTTTAAATCTTCAAGCTGATCTTTCAAACTGTTAACTAAAACAAAAACAATTCAGTTAATCACTGTAGTGAAAAAGTTTTTCTCTTTTAAAAGCCTACATCAAAACAGAGCCCTTCAAGCAAGGTTCAACATACCCTCGTTTTCCAAATTGCGTTTCTTATCTGCTTCATGTTCTGCTTTTCTCTGGTATTCTGTATTCTTATGCTGAAGAAGAGCCTTCTCCCTTTCTAGTTGTCTGACTGCAGACTCTACATTTTTCCTTGAAGTTATCTGGATATATTTAAAAGAGCAAAACAAATCGCATTTGTTACGTGAAGAATCTTGGCAATCTTAAAGCAATTAAAAGACAGTTTACTTCAAAGTGGAAAAAAGACACGTGCCATCTGCTTCCTGCAAACACAGTGCATCAGAACATCTGAACAAGTTCATCCATCCTAGACCAACTAGAGCCAGGAGCTTTTATCACTCTACGACTGTATGATGGGTTGCATTCAACAAATGCTGTAACCTGCCTAGCAGCCATGAAACATCCATGTAGTGTAAAATCTCAGCATGCACCTGTATGAACAACACATCACATTCCACATGCCCTCTGTAGATATGATACATGTGCAGTAGGCATTAAGGTGCAAAGCTGTGCAAAATACAGTCCTTTTACTGACACAGTTAGAACACACTTGGAATACCAACAAATCAGCTGGTGTTGCCAACTTGCCATAAGTACACAGCTACCAAAAATAATCTGCTGGTTCCTAAAGAAAAAACTCAGATACAAATGCTGAAGTTTTAATTCCAGTAATTAGTAACTACTGACTTACCTCTTCATCTAGCTCTTTCACTATCTTCTCTAAACGAGTATTAGCAGATCTGAAGGAATAAGAAAAATATTTTTAAACCCTATTGACCACACACACACAAAAATAGGGTGTTTGGATGTGTTCAATTAATTTTTTTGCAAGATATTCTATTTTCAGCAATCACATTAAACGTCTAGGGCTGGGAAAGTCTCTCAAACAATAGAGACATTCTTATGGAAGTACAGAGATAAGCAGGCAGTGGGGGGAGAGGCCAAACCGTTGTGTAATAATATTTCTTTACAAACATACCAAACACATTGAAACAATCTCACCTGTATTTCTGTTCTAGTTCATCTTTGGCTTGCAATTCATTACTGAGTTGTTCTTCTAACTTGCTTAGTTTTTTCTGAAACTGAGTTAAAAAGTCAAAAAAAGCATGGTCTTTAAGTAAGACTGTTATCACATGAAAAAAGTATAAAGCAGCTTAATAACAAAAAAAGGAAAAGCATGGAAAATTAATTTAACCATTAATTGTGATTTTTTTAATTCATCAACAGATGGTAATTTCTAAGCAGAAGGTTATTTCATCTCTATTTCTCACCATTACAAGTTATTAATCTTGATTTTTATGATATAACATTTGCTGCATGCTGCATTACAGCAAAACATCACACAATTACATACCACAAAGTGACAGTCATAAAATTTCTTTAGGCAAATAATGTTGCTTCTGGTCATTTGCTGTATTCTTTCCCTGCCTAGAGTCTGGAGCACAATTTTTGGGACAGTCTCTTCTATACATGATTTAAAAATTAAAATGGCATATAACCAAACTGGACAATATTCAGAGAACATTTCGAAACGTGCACCATGATCTCACAGAGAGAGGAATTCTTTCACAAGCAGAAAATTAGAAACAGTTTTAAAGTTTGGGAATGTTTTGTTGTGCTTAACATAAAAAAGATATGAATCAAATACCCCAAAATTCAAAAAACTAGATTATAAAACATGAATTTTGGAATTGCTTCACATCTTCAGGCCTTCAAGCATTTCTTTTCCTCTTTCATCCCTATTCTACTCCGCACATACAACATGCAAAATCATAACATCCCCAAAACAGGGACACTGAAAAGGACATCAAAACCTAGAGACTCACTGCTTGAGAAAATGAGAATGAAAAAACCTGTCAGAAGTGAAATGCAAAATTTTAACAACTGTCACAATAGAAAGCAAATGTGAGAAACATGAAACTGTATTTGAAAGAACGATTGCTTTTTTTTATTTAAAGGGAAACCAAGACTTTTATTCTATTCACCAATGACAGGAAGGAAAGACGTGGAGCCCAATAAACATCCACGTTTAAATTTATGTTGTTCATTACACTATGCCTTTCCTTTACAAAGTTTAACAACTAAGTTTTAACAAACGTTAACGATCTACGCTTGAATATTACAAATGGTAAAGTGGGGTAATGAAGTAAGCTAAATATATGAAAAATTAGTAGCATTCTCCTCTCATCTGCATATTTAAATTTAGTTGGCAATCTTGAAAAGCTCAATAAACGAGCTTCACACACTGACTTCAACTGAGAGAAAGATTTATGCTCAAAAACATTCCTTTGTCACTATAGTTGACAACTTAATTTTCCAAACTCTGGATAAACGTGCCACAAATCGCAGCGCGCAGCCAAGAACTACAGCCTTTCCAAGGGCGATGCTGTCTGGGGCAAACAGAGCCCTACACATTTGTTTTCAAACCAAATTGTAAATGCCAGAAGAATCAGAGAGAAATGTGTTCTCATTCATCGTCACAGCGCGGTACCTGTACATTCGAGTACAACAGTTCATTCACAAGCTGCTACAGACACTTCACTGTTAACGGTTTGGTGCATAAACATCGACAGTATTTAATGATATATCATGTTCACACAAATTCAGTGGGAACTATTTGATTCCTTTCATAATTCAAATACATTCACCTCCTTGCTGTCCTCTAGATAGAATTCATCATTTTTATTGAGGAGCATTAAAAGAGTGCTCCCCAGAATATCTGATTCCTTGCTTAAAACTCTGCCTCCTCCTAACAGATTTAACAAAATTAGTTAATCATTCCTTAACACTTACAGGAAAAAAAAAGGCACTAACCTCATTTTTACTAGATTGCACCGATTCATTTTCTCTGCAAGACTGAGAGGAGTCACTTAGCAACCTGTCAAAAACAAAAACAAATCCCTCCTGCCCTTATTCAAGTTTTCAACAACTCTGGCAACCTCGCCAAGAAACACATTTCAATCGTTTCTCTCAAGCCTTATTTTGTCCTGATTCTCAGAATGAAGCAGGTTTTATTCCAGTGAATCAGAATGATTTGAGCCTTTTTAAAACTAAGACTAACGTTTAAGACATTTTCAAGTCCATATCAGCTTATCATTTTTACTTAATACCCAATTCATTCACAGCTATTCAGACACACTGAATATGATTAATCAAACAAAGCAAAGGCAAGTAGATAGCAATTGATGTCCTAGCAAGCTATTACATTGCATAAACATTTTTCTGAACACCCAACCCAACAAGAAGCAATTTTAGAGCTAAATTACAAACCTAGCAGTTTTTTAAACCTACAACAGATTTTTAAAGACACTATATATTTTTATGCATATAAAAATACTATTTATTTCATAAGAATTATCAAGGTAACCACAACTGATATATTCTACTTAAACTCTGCATCTTCTATCTTTACAATTGAACAGAAATGAATATAAGGCAATGAATAAATTAAGTATCTAGAGTGAAAAAGAAAGGATAGGCTATATGAGAAACTTGCAAGTATATTTCTAAAAATACACATTAAAGTCTCACATACAAATTATCTCTATAGTAGGTAAATCCTATAAAAGGCAGCTGGTTTCCCACAAAGGCTTTGGGGATTGGAAAGGTTTCCACATCTCCTTTGTCATCCTCAATGTCATCAAAATTACTGCTGTCTATATCACTACTAAGCTCAGGAACAACAGGAGCAGCAGCTACAGAAAGGAAAGAAAAGATCAACTTAATTCCAAGATTCAGCCTATGATGTAGGTTGTCCTGCTAGTTAAATGTGTATTAATCATGCAGCAGATCTCTAAATATTACTGTGAATATTTTTTTTTTCTTAAATTGAAGTATTTTCACATTTACATGAGTTGCTTAATACATGGCATATCTTATGCACACAATGTATTTGCAAAGGTCATCACGTTTTAGAATGGAACACTAAATATAATCACCATATTAAGAAACTTCAGTAAATACATCTTTAGAAGTTATGATCAAGCTCATGAATCAAAGTGGTTGGTTTTTTTTCTTACAGCAATCAAACTCACAATTTCTTAAACAAAAGGCAATGAAACCAACAAGCCCACTCTCAATGTAGCCTTAGCCACAGATTAAGAAAAAAATTGAAACAAAGAAAAAAAAGACAGCCATCAAAACAACAATAACAAGTCAGACAGAAATAGAACGCAACAAGCAGCCTTTCTGCTTAGATTTCTAAAACATTCAGTTTTGCTATTCAAAACAGAAAACTATAAATTAAAATAGTAAATATGAGAATACTTTTGGAAAGAAGACATTTCTCTTACTCACTCCTACTGATACAGGTTTAAGAATATAAATGATAAATAAAAAAGTTCAGGCAAAATTCTTGATAGCCAGAAAATATTTACTTAGTTTATACAGCCTTACAGTGTTTCTCATTTGTATTATTACTGTTAAGTAGCCTTATGCAAATATTGAACAAATATACAACTTTCAAGCTAATCTACTTACTCTCTCGGATGTTGTCCCAGTTCCACTGGTCACTCTTAAAGAAAGGGTGATGCTTTATTTCTTCTACCCCATTCCTCCCAAGTCGCACGTCCCTGAACATAGCAATTAAGCCAAATTCACGTTAGGAAAAACAGCACTTGTTTTGTTTTTACTATAACTTGCTGTCAGTAAAGATTTTCTGTGTAAAACACATTAGTGGTCAAATAAAAGAAAAAAAGAAAGGAAAAGCACACCAACCAATGATCCTTAGTTTCTCATATGAAAATGTATTTATATAAAAATATATAATATCCACTCTCCCTGTTACTGCTTAAATGTCCAGAAGTTGGAGTCTGCCACGTGAGGAGAAAAGCAAGAAAGAGAGCACTAAGGCAAAAGCTCAGAAGAAACTCAAAAGAAAAACAAAACGCCAGCACCGTAGGGGAAGAAGAAACTGCCAAGGGCCGGTGTCTGCCAAACCACATGACAAACCTTAAGGCTCAAGTGAAGGAAGGTCTAACTTACTGCACAGAACAGTTATTCAAGGCTGAACTGAAATAAATATTTTAAGAATTCCATCCTCTGCCCCATAAGTAACCCTGACACGTCTTTTGCTGATATTTACAATGAAGTAAATCTCAAGTTCAAAAAGAAACTTCTAGTTCGACCAAATGAAGTCTCTCTTAAAACTATCTGTGAGAAGAGAACATAAAACCAATGCGTGCAACAGAACTAATAAATCATAGGGTGGATGCTTATTCCTTCTTGTCCCTCTAAGTGCCTCATCACTGATCACGCACACAGAAAGAAGGCATCTGTTTCAAATAAATTGCTTGAGCGCTGCGTTAAATATAAACAGGAAGACAAACACACGTAGGGGAAATAAACCTCGCTGCACTCACGTTATTCAATTCTGCTCCTGTTTTCTGTCTGCCCTGCAGCTACTGAGGGTTAGAAACACTTAAAATATATTTTAACTGAGCAGAACAATCCTCTCTGTGAGTATAAAAACCATTATAAGGCAATTTATTCATTTATGATTGTTGTTGGCTTTTTTCCTACTGATCCCTCAATCCCTAGAAGCTGAACATTCAGCTGCAGTCAAACTGAGGTGGTGACACATCATCAATCCGGAGTTAAATTTGAACCTAAGTGTCATTTTCTTTAATCAGAGAAATCTAAGATAACCTCTGCTTTCTGGCACTAAAGAAAAATTTAAGAATTCAGGTCAAGAATGAACTTACACAGATTAATATCAATAAAAAATAAAAAAACGCTCAGCTCCATGAAGGGAGAACTCGATGATTTAATTATATCCAGGACAACATCTTTTTTCTCTATTAGCTATACTTGTCAGTTAGTAACACTAGCTAAAAGAGAAAAGTTTGAACATTCTATGAAATTTCAAACAAAGTAGGCAAATATAGGCTTGTTTTCATGAAAGTATGTTTTTATTTTTTATAAGCAGCGTCCACTTCATCACAGTTTGTTCCCTGCCTTTCAAAGCTCAAAAACTACTTCCAGCCTTACAGGTTTGCCGCTCTATTTCACACCGAGCCACAGATGGGAGGATTTCTTCAATACAGAGCACATTGTATCAAGAGCTGCCAGAACCCCTCCAAAAAATAAAATACAACGCCTAGAAAAATACCCCATAAGAAAAACCCATGTGTGGATGATTTTGCAGAGGAGAATTGAAATTAGTTGGTGTAATGGAAATTGATTTTTACAATGAACATGTGTTAGTACTATCTGAAACAGAAATAGAACCAAAACAACACATGCACATACCTGTCAGTTAAGAAGGCACAGATGAGGTTCTTTGCATGCTTAGAGATTTCTACATCATCCGGGAAATGTAATGAGTTCTTGTGATCCATAATTTTACTGTATGTCCCTACTAAGGAGTCTGCATAAAAAGGAGTATCACCTGGAAATAAAATGGTAAACTGATTGTGATTTTGAATAATGTTGAAGTAGTGTAAGACGAAGAACAAAAAGTGAAGAGGTACAAACTCTACAAGCAATTTTGCCTAAGGCTGTTTTCTAATGAAGGAAACAGAGAATATGCAGGGTACAGAATAATATATACTACTAAAAATGTTCCTGTGACAAAACACCTTCATTACACACTGAATTACACATTACTACCAAAACTTTTGCCCAGTGATTTGTACATTTTACCTGACTGGTGTCACCATTCTCTAATTTACACAGTGATGACACTGACATGTAACCATCTCTTCATGCTCTGTCATGGGTGTAAGAGACTGAACCTCATTAACAACTTGCAGATGCACATTCCTTGGAAAGCCTCCACCACTGCTCTCCCAGGAGCATTTCAGAGGCAGGCAGGCCAGCTCTGCCTCTGGAGATGCCTGGGGAGCCTTCAGAGCACGTCAGGCACAGCTAAACCTGCACTCACTAATCTTGCTGACTGTCAAATTGTATCACCTTGGGTGTCCATATTAGTACAGCCAGGGCTGAGATTTAAAAAGCCACCTTTTTCATCCAAAGTTCTGAAGCACAAAATTCAATTAATTTTAGTTTATTTACTGACATAAACTTGGCAGCAAATTGAATATGAGCCAAAAGTGTGTTTACAGACAGAAGGTCCAGCCATAGCCTGGGCTGCACTGGGCCCAGCACCACCACTGGGAGAGGAGAAGTGTTGCCCTGCTTTGCTCTGTGCTATGCGGCCTCACCTCCAGCACCTCCTCACCTCCAGAGTTGGGCAGTCTCAAATATTCCAAACCATCTCATAGAATCACAGAGTCAAAAAGGTTGGAAAAGACCTCCAAATGCCCACCTGCCACCACCATTTTTCCACAAATACCTCCAGGGAAAGTGATTCAACCACCTCCCTAGGCAATCTCATTGGTGTCTGTTTCATAATAGCAATGTATGTGGGAGTAGATCTGTCTTGAATAGCCTAATTATTTCTAGTTCAGTTACAAGAACCAGAAAAGCTATACAGTTATCTAAGAGAAGCTGCATGTTTCTTCAAACACTGTCAAATGAATCTGACATAAGCCTCAAATACTGTGTTTGCAAACAAAGTCGCTGAAGGGAACCACGTTGGCGCTGTTAGACGGGAAATACAATGCAGATTGGAATATGATGATGAATAACAAATAACCAAAAAAATTACAGGGCACAAGTAAGCCCTGTAATTTTCAGTATAAAGGTGAAGCAGATTTCAAAAGCATTTAAAAAAGACGGCGCAGGTAGAAAATCATATTCTCTTCTCAGAGGCAGAAAGAAGCTTGGATTAAAAAAAAAAAAAGAAAAAAGTAATAACACATGAAGACTTCACAAAAAGCCAATAGATGGAATTCAGCAGGAGGAGTACAGTGTTAATCACATGTAGGATTCTGACAAGTCCAGAACTGCAACAGAAACAAAACTGTTATTTCACACCCTTCTGAAAGTGTGAAAATCACAGAGCTAATGAAAGCAAAGATTCCAGTCTATAATGTAGAGAAAAAAAATGACATTAGTACTGCAGGAAAAAAAGTTGTAAAAATAGCATAGATTCAAATATTGTAACAAGATAGATAGCCTGTGGTAGGAAAAATGCATGAAATTTATGAAATGTCAGAAATTTTTCAACACACAACTCCAAATTTTAGGAAAAACTATACCAAATATAAGCCCCCTCAGCTTAGCCACTCATACTGAAAGCCTGGAATAACATCAAGATGACGCAGAGAAATGCAGAAGGATTTTTGTTCCAAACAAGTAGAGGCTCCTTTATATAATTCAGCTCCTGCAAAAACTGTACCTCTCTACTTTCACTTCAAAAGATGTTTTGGTTACAGTAATAACAAAGGGACCATTCTCTCAGATGCGGTTTAAAAAAACAAAAACAAAACAAAACAAACAAACAAAAAAACCAACAAGCCCTGAGAAAACATTTGTGGGCATCTATGTCATAGAATCATAAAATTGCTCAGATTGGAAAAGACCTTAAAGATCATCAAGGCCAACCGCAACCCAACCATATTACCCTAACTCTAACAACCCTGTGCTAAATCATGCCCCTGAGTAAATGTCTAATATTTGAATTACTGAAGAAATTCATTTATTGCTAAAATCGTTTATGAGACTATTAATTACAAAATATATATTTTATACATCAAAATGCTTTAATTCCCAAAGACCAGGAGATTTCAATAGCAGCATATATCAAAGCACCACAGAGGCTGTGGATGCTCCATCCCTGGAGGTGTTCAAGACCAAGTTGGATGCAGCCCTGGGCAACCTGTTCTAGTACCAGATCTTGAGGTTGGTGGTCCTGCCTGTGGCAATGATGTTGGAACTTGATGATCTCTGGAGCCCCTTTCCAACCCAAGCCATTCTGTGATTCTATGAAAGCATCGTTCAGGGCTCACAATGCCAGAAACATCACATCTGCAATATCCCCAAAAGATTCTGATTTGTACTTTGAATAATTACATGCACAGTTCCCTCTTTCTGTAATTGGGCTGTAATACTGATCTTCTGAGTATTTTAAGTTGCATATGACTCATGTCCTTAACTGATTATATTCTATGTTAGTTGCCATAGCAATCCAGTGTATTTTATTGGAAAATCCTGACACAAACACAAAAGAAAGAATCAAACCATACTTCCAGAGACATTTTGACCCATCAGTAACAAATTGCTAGTACTGGGAGAGGAAGAAAAAGAAAACACAAAAACAAACAAAACAAAAGCAGTTCTGTCCTTCCCACTCATTTCCCATCTCTGCGTCCCTAACAGCTCAATACAGACCTGAAGATGGCATAAGCATTTACTTAGATTGTGAGGTAGGCAATCAGAGATAAAAAATATTCTAAAAATTAGTTTTAAGCTGAACCAAGTCAGAGAACTCCTCGCTGTGCAAACACACAGACAGCATAAGAGAGACAAAGCCAAGGGAACAGGGATGAAACAACTGCATCAACCAAGAGCCAGAAGCTGTTAGATAATGACGTACAACCAGCCCCTAATAGCAAAGCAAAGCGAGGCTCAGCACAGGCTAAAACCACAACCTTTTTAGCAGAAGAAATTCTACTTACCAACCAGCATCTCAAAAAGGAAAACTCCTACAGACCACCAGTCACACTCCCGTCCATAATAACCATCACCCCCTTGTGATTTCAGAACTTCAGGGGATATGTAGTCGGGGGTTCCAACAGCCGTGTCACAGCGCACCATACCTGTCTGTGCAACAGCAACAATTCAAACAGCTCCGTTAAAACTGCTGCTCAGTCCTTACACAAAACTTCAGAAAGCCTATTAGTAGACCAGGAAAAAAAAAAAAAAAAAGAAAGAAAAATAATAATCCAAAATATTTGGTTTGAGGTACATGTTTGAAAGCTCTGACTTTTATTCCAGAAACAGTCTGAACTGAAATGACAAATCCTGTTAACCCACTCTCCCCTTTGGCTACACTAAGCCATTTCTCTTTATAACAGCATTTCAAAAATGTGCACGTTTTGTAGTATTACCCTTGGTTTCAATATGAATAAACATGTGCTGTACTGGATAGTTGCTTATCTCATTGAATTCATAGAAGAGCTTCTGAATAACTTTGATTATTTAAGTCCTGCGTAGCACACACATAATATGTGTAATTCAAACAATACACCAAATTATAGGTAAATTCTTATAGTCACACCTTAAGTTGAAAGTAAAAGCTATTTTTAAAGAACAGGGCTTAAGAAAAATAAAGTAAAATATAACTGATTTTTATTAATGTAATGATTTTTTTATTAATCATTTATTAATGGTGTGATTATTTATCCTCTTTGCTTCACACTCTGCAGGAGCTAAATGATGTAGAAACATTGTCAGATATGGCAGCACGCTGCTTCAAACTTAGAGCCTTGTTGCTTTTAATGAAACTCACTGCATTCATTCCAGAGAGACCAGATGGATGAACGAAATTAAATCCCGGATAAAGCCAAAGAAGTACCAAAAATACACTCATCTGTGACTCTGCCACTCAGCCTAAAGCAATGTCCAAGTTACCTTTGAAAGTTCTCCATGCATTTTCCATCACCTTTGGCTGAATATTAGTACAGAATATTGGTAGGAACAACTGAAATGGAAATTCATATTTAAGGAAATAAAAAGGATCATTTTGCTTTTGGAACTGCATTTACATGTAAAAATTAGACAACCAATTACATTATTCTTTTCACATAGAATATGAACTGCCAAAAACATTTATTTATTCAAAGAGAATATTGGAAGGTCATGAACCGGTACGCTAAAACTAAAGTGATGATTAAATACTGCAAAGACTTAAGCAGTACTGAAAATCTCTTCATTGCAAATGCTTATTTTCTTGTAAAATAAAGAAGAAGCTAAAGATGAAGCTGAAACATAAGGGGAGTTTAACTTCTCAGTTACAGCAGTTGAACTTCTGTTTTCTGTTTTCATTAAACAGACGTCAGCAGAAGAGCCCTGAAAGATTTCTCTGAAGACCACGGCTTTAGTCACAAGAGCTGTGTACTTAGACCAGCCTCATCTCCTCACCCAAGCACTTAATAACATCCAATTTCCCACTCCTCTGTAATTAATGCAGCAAAACAAGATCACCTTTTAATATTTCATACATGTTAATGTTTTATGAAGTCTTATGCAAACAAAGCAAAGGTTGTGCTAAAGAAAAGCCAGCCCTACCCAAGTCAGACAGCTGCTACACAGTGACAAGAAACCTTGTCAATTATCTTATGGATGCTGAGGAATTCCAGGTAATAACCCTAACTTTTCAGGCAAGATGTCGAAGGAGAACACAATTAAACAAAAATATTTTTACAGGCAAAAGGGCTTTATGTGCTAATGTCAGTTTTCAATGGGCAATATTTCTCTTAAGCATGCGCAGTTCTCCCCACAGAACTCCCTACCTTCTGTCCCAGAAGTAGATCTGAAAATACATTACTGCCTTACTGAACATTCCAACATTCCTGTCATTCTCATTTATGCAATCATACTGTAAAAAACAAAAAACAAAACCTAGGTGTTGCCCTGTGTACATTTTTAAGTACTGGATATTCTTACTACAATAATCCTACAAGCTTCTGTGATCTGGCATCAAAGCCAAGTAAACAGGGAAGTCCCTTGTGTGCTATATGACATCTTGGCATACTGAACATTCTGTGAGATGACTTTTGCATTCTGCACTTCATCAGCTGAAGAGATCTGAAGGGTGCTGTTTTCTCTGGACAAAGTGTCAGTCCTGTCAGCCTCTGATGCCTGAACAGCACACAGTACAGCAGTTCTTTTCTCAGTAGTCTCAGGCTACTCTTTTACCTGAGGCTTTTCTCATCACCTCAGATGATACACCAAGGTGTATCTTGGAACTCCATCTGATGGAAGTTCCTGCAGATACCTGGGAGATTTGAACAACTGCAAAAGAAAAAGGTTGTCAAAGAGACAATATGCATTCATGGCTTAGGAGAATTTGGCTGTGAGGCTACTGCATTTCTCAGCACCTTACAGAACTGTAACATCTCTGAAGGCAAAGCAGTTCTGGTTTCATTCTCTGGAAGACCTCAGGTACACTTGAATGACTCACTGTCTTGGAACAAGGCTAAAAATGAGGCTTTAATTCCCTCATTAATATCTTATCAGCAAACAAGAACTGGAGAGTGCTGGTGCAGACATGCCAGGATAGTACAGATCAGGTGTTAATGCTACTCTCAGGTTTGACTACCACACTACCAACAACGAACTGAAGTAAGAAGGATTCAGTGCAGTCCTGGAGGAGCATCAAGGAGAAACAGGCATCCTGCTGAGCAGAGGATCAGACCAGATGGCCTCCAACCTCAACCATTCTGAGACTCTGTGAAATAAACTGAGTAAGAAGACGAACGTGTTTAATCTTTCAGCTCAGCTATCTGAGGAAATGATCCCAAGTGGTAAATGGCTTCCTTTTGCTCCTATTTCTTTGCAACAGATATCCTTTAAGCCTGTGCTTTCCTGTAAGTTCAGTCAGCAGAAGCCACAGTTACATACAGACCTGACTGCATCCAGCAGTTGATGCCCCTACAACACTCTCAGTACTCAGTCATGATACTGTCTAGCTTATTACTTAAAGAAAACCTAACAAATAGAGTCTGGTGAAACCTGCATTGGGATTCTTTTTATTAAACCTTTGAGGCCAGCCCCATCCTTTACTCAATTACAGATATTCACCTTGTAATGGATTAAAAAAAAAAACAAAAAAACAACAACAAACCATCACAGTCAAGGTAAATAAATGGGCCAATTCCTTTTATGTTGGAAAACATCACTGAAAGACTAAACAATTCTTTCCACATACTAAGGAGGAATTCTGCTGCAAGTGTCTGGGCTGGCTTGGACAACAACTTAAGAGAACACTCATTTCAATCCCCCAGCAAGTACTAAAAAAGTTCGTCTTCCAAACTGTGTCTCTCACCAAACTGAAGCAGAGTTCTCCTCAGTCTCGACAGCATGAGGAAGATATGCACAACTACTAAAAGAACTCCGAGTCAGAAAAAAATAAATAAGTGTTGGGTAAGCATACATTTTCTAGAAATCATCTTGCCAACATCAATATTATGTTTACACAGCTGGGATGTGTTCATGTTTTGTAAGAAGTAGCATGAGATTTGGAGACAGTCCAGCGCCTCTCAACTTCTAAAGCTTCCTGTAGAAAATATTTTCGCCATTCCACAGAGTCTGAGAAACATTTAGAACTTAAAATTTAGCCAATTAAAATTTAACTTCATTAGGAGATCACCCATTTGTTGATGATGCCTCATCTAAACTGGAGCTTGCTACAGCAAGAGATATGCAAGCAATCTCACATTTACAACAAGATCAACCACATTTTAAAATTTCATTTTTTTAGAACTAAACAAACAAACAAAGCAGCTTAAGTTCACCACTTCTAGGCTCCCTAAAGTACCACAAGCACTTTTTATAGTAGATCAACATTATGAATTTTTGAAACTTTTTTATTACCTCTTCTGATGAACATTAGATTCCCCTGAGACTCAACAGTCTAATTGGTGAAATTATTCACAATAATAATTTAAAGATTAAATTAAGAGATCAAATACAACTTTTCACTTCTCTAGTTAAAGTAAATACTGCCCAGTAAAATACAGGCAACTGAATAATGGAAGTGGAAGTAAATGTGCATGTCCTTAGAATAACTATATCAGCACAACAGAGGTCTCAATAAATAGCTGCATTTGTTCAGCAGTAATATATTGACATTTGAAAGAAAAGAAAAAAAAAGGAAAGAAAAAGCATTTCTAGATAGAAATATATATATTAACTTAATGCAAATGCAAACTAATAGATTGCAGAGATTATACTAAATGCAGCCTAAATAACACAGAAAGAATTTAACACACTGAAGCAAATAAGCTTAAAAAGGATAAACAAAGAAACTCTCCAAAGGCCTGATGATAACATACAATCATACACAGTTTATGAGAAGAAGAATATACTGTGTAAATTGCACAATACTGTTTGTCATGGAAGATTTAAAAGTACAAATTACAAAGATAGTCTCCTACAGGAATACATGTAGTACATCTGTTAAACATACAGTAGTTACACTTATGCAACCTCATTAGAAAACTGCATTTGGCTGCAGATGATAAAATCTAGACAGTTAAAATATGACATTTTGACTAATAGCTAACAAATTTTAATCTTTAGATCACATACCACTGCTGCCTTATTGTGACCTCAGTTTAATGACCACTAGAGGATGCTATGAGAACAATCAGAAAAAAAAAAATAGGGCCTGTATCTTGCTATAAAATAATATCTTTTATAGAAAACTGTCAGCTTATGAACTGTTCCAAGGTTGCTAATATTGAAACTAGGAGTTGTCTAATAAACTTTTCAGACACTTGGCAAAGAAATGAACCCCAGAAATTCACAAACGCATGCTTTCAAAAGTGACAAAAAATAAATTTATTTCCCCCTTCCATGTGCCAGAACAATTTATTACAGACAATGTTCAACTATTTAAAGTACTCCTGTATTTAAAGATAGGAGACAAGAAACAGCTTTCCAACCAAGTGGACCATTTGATAAGCATTCCTTTGGGTATTGTAACTCAAGTGAAAGTATCCTTAGAATTACAGTCTCATAGATGATAAATTATTCAGTTGCATACTTACTTCATCCATTTTCATGCAAGTGCCAAAATCTGCCAGCTTCAGGTGCCCATGTTTATCTAATAGCATATTGTCAGGCTTCACATCTCTGTGTATCAAGCCCATGGAGTGAATCGCATCAAGAGCAAGAACAACTTCGGCTGTATAGAACTTGGCCCATTTCTCAGGCACATCATAATTGCTCATAAGGTTTACAAGATCTCCTCCTGGCATGTATTCCATTACCATGTACAAGTATTTGTCATCTTGAAAGGCACAAAAAAGCTGTGAAATGGAAAAATTAATTAGGAAAAAGAGCAGCTACTTTTCAGAGACATTTAGGAGAAATAATAAAGTACCTGAGGTTTCATTAAACCTGAGTGTACAATTTTTACTGATGTAAAATAACTTTATTTTTTATATTCAAATAATCTACGTTTCTAATTATGGCATAAACCTGAATTTTACTTGAAACTTCAGAAATCCCTACTTTTACAGGAAATGAAAAAGATTTCCTGGTTACATCAGTAGCATGACTATCTACATTGCTGTGTTTCTTGACATAAAAGATATCTCTACAACTGAAAATGCAAAATATTAAATCTGAGAAAGCAGGCGTCTTCACAGAATCACAGAATCACAGAACTGCAGGGGTTGGAAGGGACCTCCAGAGATCATTGAGTCCAACCCCCCTGCCAAAGCAGGTTCCCTACAGCAGGTGTAGGGACTGTCTTGCAACAATCTTAACATAATTCAATAGTGAATAGTATCTTAGTCTGCTTTTGAGTTTCACATACTATAAATTTAGATATAACATCTCCATATAGATTTATAAAAACATATGTTAATGCTGACTTTGTCCTAAACTCACACACATATTGAAATGAGAAAAAAATTAAATATGGTTGCAAAATCTAAAGGACTTAACAATGAAATTACAGTTTGATTGATATTGCAGCTGATATCTTCTTACAGGGATGACAGTAAGTTCAGCATCTTTAAAATGTACTTTAGACTTTGAGGAGAGAAATTTCAAAGAATTTCACTCAGCAATGAAATATGGGAGACCACTGAAGGCAGGAAAATTATTACAGAGATAGGACCTTCAGAGTAAAATTTACTGCTCATTGGTGAAAGAAGACTTGTGTTACAAACACACATTACTGCATACACATACATATAACATTGTATTTATTTTGCAAATGGACAGTATATAAAACATAGAACATAAACATCTATTTAATCATTAAAGGCTGAACTAAAATCCAAAATAGTCTCTGTATTCCCACACATAAAGGTGTTTATTTAACACAGTGATAAATAGCAATCCTTTATACAGCCTTATAATGCCTTTAGACAGCACTTTCAGTATCAGTCCTCAGGGATTTTATAAAATCAACGTTATCTAGGGCTCTGCTTTCACCTCTTCTTTCACATGAAATAGGAGTAGGGAAGCTGTGCCATTTGTCCCAGTTTCTACTCAGAACAGGACTGACGTTTTCATAAAACCAGCTCCAATCCCCCTGGACCAAAGTATTTATATACATCACACCCACACTCTTCACCGCAGAAGGCACAAATTGCAACCACATTTTGATTCATTTAACATGGACAGCCTGATCTAGTGCCTGGTTTAGTGTGTGGCAACTGCCCATGGCAGGGGGACTGAAACTAGATGATCTGTGCAGTCCCTTCCAACCCAAGCCATTCTGATTCTATGATTCTATCACCTTCTATATACACATATATATTTATATCATGCCTGCTACACTATCCCTTGATAACTGTCATACATCTATTTTCAGTTGCACGTTTAGTTGAATTGTAAAAACTACAAATACCTCCAGATGTTTGTCAAAAAACTGCAGCAGTAAATTAGTCTATTTTGTTAAGTATTTCTACTGAATACAAGTAAGAACACAGAATGTGCTCACAAGAACAGAACATCTACATGAAAAAAGTTACGAAACACTTCTTGTATATATAAGGAATATTATGGAAAAAAAATGGAAAGCCTAAAGCATAACTTTACTTTCCAAAACTACAGGAGCACAGCAATGTATCAGAGAGGGTTTAAATGTTTTAATTATTTAACAAACTAAAATGGTAACATTTTTTCACTAAATATATGCTTTCACTATTTACTTAATTGGTGTAACTTTATTAATTGGTGTAATTTACCAAATATAACAAATTGCAGGATTTAGCACTAATCCTTCCCAAAGGGATAATCCAATTTACAAACGTGATAACAAATACCATGAGATGGATGCAAGCAATGATTTTTAAGAACAGTTGAGAAAGTCAACTCTCCATCAGCTGAGGGATATTACTTGTGAGCTGAGATGCAGTAACAGACCACTGAATAGAAGATGGTTTCAAGCAAAGCACTGATAACAGTGCTTTGTCTTGTAGGAGACCTGGACTGTGCACTCCTTCATCTACAATACTGCAGACAGAAAGCCACTAACAACTTAAAGCATTCATAATACTGAATTCTAGTGATCAAGTGACCATATCATCAGGAAAGACTGGAAATAAAGCTGACATTTGTTTCTACATTCATATGCAGAATTCTTCCTAGCTGGAAAGTTATCTTACCTCCCTATTATTCCAAACAGAATCACCGAATCATTGGATTTGGAAGGGACCCTTAAAGGTCATCCAGTCCAACTCCCCTGTAATCAGCAGGGACATCTACGCTGGATCATGTTTCTCAGAGCCCCTTCCAGCCTGACCTTGAATGTTTCCAGGTTGGAGCATCCACCACATCTCTGGGCAATTAGTGCCTGTGCTTCAGCACCCTTATGGTTACTTCTGTACTTCAGAATTGTAATTCCATGGTATGATGTATTTGTAGTGACCAAAATGCAAGTTAATCTACCTTCTAACATAACCAAACACAGAAAACTCTTTGAAATTTCTGTAAACATACATCTTAAAGAAATTATGATCTGAATTTAAACCCATTATTTGAGGTTAGTTGTAAATTCAAGTCTAGGAAAGGTTTATGCCTTTATTACTATCATTATTTTACTGTCACGCATCTTCCTTACCTGAACCACCCATGGACTATTGGCAAAGGCCATGATATCTCTTTCTTCCCAGAAAAAGGCTGAATCTGATCTCTTGATCATTTCAAATTTACTAAGCAGCTTCATTGCATAAACCTTCTGTGTCATTTTATGGCGAACCTAGTGGTTGAAAAGAAGCAACAAACTTTAAGATGTCTTACAAAAAACCAGTAATAACGTGTACCAACATATCACATTTCTCCTATCTGCGAACTACTTGCTGGGATGCAAGGTCTTCACATCTTCACACATTCATATTAAGAACTCGAGATTTTCCAAACCTGAGAAGAAAAACCTGAGAGCTGCTCCAAAACACATAGCAGTGGTGGGATATGGATACCAAGTGAAGATATGCCACAGCTCAGCCAACTGCTGCAGCTGCTGCTTACCCTCAGAGGAGCACTTTATGGAGGACACAGGAAGGACACGCCACAGAGCCACAGACACTTTCGTAGGCAGATGTTTCACTGAAGGTGAACCAATGTATGACTGTATGTTTTTTGTCATTATGGCTACAACCATAAAAACAAGGGCTGTCTTTAGTAGCCTGCTTACTCAAATTGAAACTGATACAAAAAATCTTCAGAATCAGAAACATACACCTTCCTATTAAGAGCAGGTCTGCTCTTTGCATTTTCTGAGTGAATATACCAACTTCAAGTCACTCAATACTAGAAAACCAACATAATAATAATAATAATTACGTTTATAGTAGAAAACGAAAATGTTTTTCGGTGCTCCATTCAGAAGTTTCATCATGTAAGAAGAAATAACTCTTTTGGAAAATTGCATCTGAATATGGACATGAAATGGAATCTTAAAACACAGGCAGTAATGTCAACAAAGCCCTAAATTAATACTACATACAAAGCAATTACTATTTTAACATTGTTGAGCGTTCCTGGCATAAATCAAGGTGAGGACCACTCATCTATGAGGTGTCTGAGTTTGCAGGAAAAAAAAGACATTAACTCCTCCTTAAGTTTTTGCATGTTTTCAACTTCTGAAAAATCAATTAATGTTTTTGACATCAAAATCAAAAGGTTAAGATCTTCTGCTGCATTTTCCAACCTAAGGTTCAGTGAGATAAATCGTATCCTCCAAACTGTTACTTCGGCACAATGTCCAACTTAACTGTGTTACATGTGACAGTGTTTATTAGGCTCTTTTTTTCCTGCATAGATCCAAGCATTTCAATTCATTATATCTGCAGCACAGACCTTCACAGAAGCACCTATGTGGTTTAACACCATGGGAGCAATAGCCTCCTGCTCCTGGGGAGCTGTAAACATTCATGCTGCTGCTTGAGTCAACAGGGGTGATTTGTACAAACAAAAGAAACAAAGGTTAAAAAAAAAGTCTCAGAAGGAGTGAAGACATGGATAGAAATAAGATTATCCATCAGGCTGTTCCCAATCTACTGCTTCCAAATTTGGAGCTTTTTCCTCTCAAGATACAGGTTAAGACTTCAAAATTTTACTCTTAGCACCCTGTATAGTTTAACACTGGCCAACAGCTTTTTCTGTATAACTAGATCAAAAAGCTTCCAACCAAACCTCAAAACAGCAGCACACTACCTATGTGCTCCAAGCACATTAACACCTTGACAGTAAAGGTGTCTTGAAAGAAGATTTTGAAAATGACCTCCCTGCCATTTTCTAATCCTGGAAAATTTATTTACAAAGAATTGGTAGTACACCACAAACTGTGCTCCGTATCACAGGGCTTTGGTAATCCTGTTCAAAAACAGAAGAAACACAAAGACAAGCAACCTCAACGAAAATATTCTTTAATTGCAAAAGCATTTTCTGTGAATCTGCACACACTTCTCTACTGCCTTTTAGTAGTTTATGGTTCCTAACCATTGTGCAGTCTTGCCTGGGTGTGGTTAGTAAAGCTGCCTTCATTTACAAGAATAATTATCTCCAATTGCTCAGAAAAAAATCTCCAAAATTCAGCACAGCCTCAAGAAAGCACGTGCATAGGAGGAACAAAAGAAACTGGTCTTCTCTGTCCTCGTACCCCTTGTGTACACCTCTCCAAGGAAGTACCATCAGGTTATTCTTTGCCTGAATTGTTTCTTGAAAATTTTACCATGGGTTGTTCTGGCTGACTGTGCCCTGGGCATGCCTGGAAGGTGAACAGCCCCACCAGTGACAGGAGTTCTTGTATCATCAGCATAGCCCCTGAAGATGCTGGCCACTGGTTCTTTCTCCAAAAGCTATATTTGTACATACACATATTGGCTCAAATAACAGATTATTCATGTATTAAACTGTCACGATGCTTTAGTTTCTTCCAAGTGGTTAAATGAACTGCCAAATTTAAACTGTAGCTCACCAGAGTAACTCTTAAAATAGGTAGGAAAATCCCTTCATGCCATCAGCATAAAGTAACATGGCCTTGTTTAACTTATGAAAATGCATTAAGAAATAAGAATTTCCTTCTGCTTTGTTTCACTACGGACAGACAAAACCATTTCTATCTAAGACTTTCAGAAAACCAGTGTGCAGAAAATACATTCATAATTTCTACTGCATTCACATCGGATGATAATCTGCAGGCTAAAAAAAAACCTACACAAAACAACCATCAGATCACATACACAGTACTGACAATGGTACCAAATTTTTATCATGGAAGGAAATGAAAATCCTAGGATAGAGTTGTGGAATGAACTCTCAGGCTCTGAAATAAGCACAGATTTCCTAAATCACTTATTAGAGCCATAGGAAGCGACAGATAAGGTACGAAAAACCTGCGGGTAGCAGAGCACGACTGCCTTAACTGCACTACTACATCAGCAGCGGCTGGGGAACAAAACCTCACATACAAAGCATTTCCTGGAAAAAAACCAAAGCAGCACCTGGCTGTGTGTGCTATGACAGTCACTGGTTTCCAACGCCGAGAAAACCCACTGTATACAGACTGTCACCCAGCCCAACTTTAACTACCCAAATAGAAGGTGCTGGCTAGCCTTCAGTTCCAGCATTCAACCATGTCAGTCTGCTGTCACTGCTGTTACAGGGCTGTGTAACAAGACCTGAGCAAAGGAAACAGTAAGTAGTTTCAGTTTCAAACCAAGAGGATTTTTCCTAAAGTAAAAGCAGAAGAGGCACTCGGGATGTGCTTTCATTAATTAATGCTTCTGCATAAACCAGAAGCAACATATATAGCACCATAATTCAATTTTTAAGTCTGCTCTAGACACCAAGACCTTTTATTCATGCCACTACGTAAGAGAAGGGATCTGGCTGCAGACAGGAAATTCTTAGCAAAGGAGAAGGCAAGCATAGAATTTAATGCTTCTGAGTTTTCAAAATGCCATACTGGAGCTAAAAACTAGGGGAAAAAAAACAAGAAGGAAGTCATAACTGAGTATTCTACACTATATATTAGCATGCTCATTCTTTTGTCTTGTTGTGTTTAAATATTACAAATACTTAATAAAGGATTGTGCTGCATGAATCTATTCACAATGGCACATGCTGATAACATGATATTCATGAATTTTACTCACGTAGTCAAACATATTTTATTTATGGCCCTTTCTGTGTTTAGCCCCCAGTGAAGCAGATTTCTATTCTGATCACAGAACGTGTTGAAAAATATTTTGATTACTGCAAATCTATCATCTGCAACTGTGGTGTTAACATTACAAATGGAGTAGAAATAGATATAGCTTAACTCAATAGCTTGAACTTGTATCATACCTTGTGAGGCAAAAAATCTAGGTATGTATGCTCTCATCACCAGCTAATATTAGTTCAGATCAACAGTGGTATTTATTAACCCATTGGTTTTTAGCTGTAAGACATTACAGCACCATTGTTTCTACTTATACTTGTTACATTCCAGAAAGAGAACGTGCTCTCAAGCTGGCATAAAGCACAGAAGAGCTCTGTATGAACAGAAATTTTGGTCCAGTGTTACTCATTTTTAGCTTTTTTATTCTAGGGGCCAACTTAAAGTAAACAGAATTAAAAGCAAATCCCTCTGACCAAGTTGCTGTGCATTTCAACATTCCATTGTAATGATTAACCACATGAGAGCTGGAGATTGTCTTCAGATTGCGCCAGGTAACGCTGCAGGACTCACTGCTGTGAACAATCACCTCTGCCTTACAACTTGACAAAGGTATGCGTGACACGGTGCAGTAACACAAAAAAATATACAGTTTTCATTCCAAACCATAACAAATTAAGAATTTCTATTTAAAACTAAATGTTATCAAGCAAATTAAAAAAAAATATATCAATAATTTGAAAAAACAAAACAAAACAAAACAAAAAAAAAAAAACAAAAAAAATCCCCCCAAACCCGTAAGTGCTCACAAAGTCACGAATATATATAAGAAATCCAAAAAGAAAAAGCTAACTTCTGTTATTGGTATTTTCCATTTCTCATTTCCCTCCCTCCCCAGTAGATGGGAGAGGAACTCCAGTCCTTACAATATGATTCTTTTTTTTCTGATTTCTGCTCAAGCACATGGTAAAGGAACATCTCAAAAGCATCTCTAATAGATGCTCTCTCTAGTAGATGCTAGACGTGGAAAAATATAATGAAAAAGGTCTAATAAAATAGCTTAAATGAAACATTTGATAATTGCTGTAAAGACAGAGAAGCCTAAGAGCAGACTGCTTTGTTACAAAGCTCCCTGCAGCCACTTTTTCTCCAGTACACAGGGTTCTGCTGACAGTTTTGTTTTTCTTTTTAATCTCTTGCCAGCAAAGATATAAAAGCAATACACCCATTAATTCTTTAAAGTCTTGATTGAAAACATCATCTCTGGAAATATCCCTCTTTATCTCCCATGAATTCTTCTGGATAGAAACAAAGAGCAGCTGACCCAGGAAGAAATAGGGAAGAGGGAGATACATTCCCATGTTACCACACTGGGATAAAGACAGATTAAAAACCAAAATACATTTATAAAACCTCTGATTGAATTTTGTTAACTGTCACATATGAATCAAATCTAAACTTGCATTTATCCATGAGGCGCAGAAATAGTGTTAGGCTAACCACAGCCTTCCCTTACTCCAATTTTCATTTTACCTTGAAAAACACAGCCAGGAAGAGTAAGCAAAGAAAAGTTTTACCTTTTTACATTGTATTAAGTGGCAACCAGGGATCCACTACTTAATTCATCTAATACATCAAGACTTTTGCAACTATTTTGAGACAAAACTGCTTAAAAAAGCCTTCCTGGTCCTCTTGGTTTGAAACTGAAACTACTTACTGTTTCCTTTGCTCAGGTCTTGTACAAAAAAGCCTTACTGGTACAGAACAATCAAAACTACGTCTGTCTATGGCAGCAACTTTCATCAAGTCACTGCTGCAAGGTACACAAGAAATAAATAATAACTACACAAAAAATCTTAAAAGCCTGCTTTTTTCTCCCCCCCATTTCCATCCATTCTCACCAATGCTAGTAGAGAACATACAAATAATTTTATAGATGAGTAATAAATTTATGGCAATTATACATGGTGCACATTGTACAAGCTCTTCAGATACAAGAACTTGCAACATTCCCCAACAAAGCACTGCTCTCCACAAACATTGTATGATTTGGTGGTATGATTTTCCCTGCTTCCTAGCACAAAGCCAGCACTCAGCAGTAAAATGTCAGAGACATGCCAAAAAACCTCTGCAAATGAACATTTTAGTTACCTTGTGGCAGCAAGTTAACCAGCTTCAATTCCTGCAAATTAGCAGGAAGAGTAAAACAACAGTTTTTTCTGCACGATTAGCTTGTTCTTTAATTGAATGATTTCAGACATTCTTATATTTTAATGCTTGTGCCCACGAAAAAAAAAAAAAAGAAAAGTTGTTTTGAACTACCTGTCCCATTTTGCTGAAAGCATGGTAAAATATTTTCCAAATCCTTTCCATCCAATCTATTATGTTTTAAACTTGCTTATTGCTTACTATGCACAAAAATGACTCAGGATACAATAAAAATGTTTTCAACTTTAACATTCTCTGTAAGAATGCATTTTTAGATCTAAAGCATGTAAGAGTGAAAAGAGTTTTACTACAGCCATAAATCTGTTAATCAACAAATCATCCCTTTCTTACCAGCTGCACTTCTCCAAAAGCCCCTCTTCCAATCACCTTAACAACATCATAGTCTTCAGCTTTCATTTGTAAAGCTCGTATTTTTTCCACAATCTTCTCATCTAAAACAAAAGAAACAAAAGATGTGATAATGCATGTATTAACAAAATACACTCATTGTCTGTAATACCTGCCACCCAGAGTCAAAAAAGGCATTTTTATCTAATGTTTATAGCCTTCCTGGCAACCTTTGAAATCTGTAGTCACCACAAAAAAAAGTCCCTTTCAATATCATTTGGCAAACAATAAACGGTAACAATTGAAATTTCTTTCAGATTTTGCCAGTTCTCATTCTACACCCCCTATTATCAGGAACAGCTTCCAGAAAGACCCTGGTAATGACAAGAACCAGAGATAACGTGAATTTTCAGACATTCATTCATTGACATTCACTGTGCTGCCACAATCAATTGACACTCGATCAACAACACAGGGGAGTGAAGTGTCAGCTGCATTCATAAGCACTGCAGGTGCAACCTGCTCCTGCACAGCTAGAGGGTTCAACAACAGTCAAATCATGAGGAACACAACTCAACCTTCACATTCAACTCCAGGCTGCATCACGCACGGATTTCAGATCTCTGTATTATTCCATACGACATTAAAATTCACTTTCAGTGTGGTGATGCACCTTCTGGCCATCTTGAAGTGCTTTCTGTAGTGTTCACTGCTGGAGTAGTTTTATACTTTTAAAATTAGATCTACAGTATTATATTCAAGGATCCTATGGTGCAATTTTCTTCAGATGAGCTCTCCCCTTTTTTTTTTTTTCTTTTTTTTTTTTTTTTTGAGGGAGGGTGGCAGTTAAAGGAATCTGCAAAGAAAGCCAGTGAAATTCTGACCCCTGACAAATTCCAAGAACGTGCAAGGTCCAAGACTTTAATTTCGTAAATGCAGCATGCTAGTGAATGCATTCCTGGCTAAACACATTTAAAAAATCCATTCTTATTGCAAGAACAAACAATGATGGAAGCAGTGAATGGAATCCACAATACTAGAGGCAATCTGTCTTGGAGTGCCAAGTCTTGATGCTTCCCCCCCCAAATATTTATAGCAAGAACATAAGAGAAAGAAGGTTGGCTTGATCAAGACCCCTACCAGCAGAAAACATTACATTGTATGAAGAGCTGCAGACGCTTACATTCAGAGAGCAGTTTAGATGCACATATTGTGAGATTCCTGCTTAGGGTCAATAACTATGGAATTTGATCCTAAGAAAGGAATTAAAAGGGACTTCAGACTTAATGGGGGAAGAAGGCATGAGAGAAACAATTAATTCTGTATGACTTTAAGATGAGATTGTCAGTGGGAAGTTAATGATAATGAATATCTGGTAAATAGCTTAACCATTTCTACATACTCTCAAAGGGCATCCTGGAAGTATACAAGCAATCCAGGAGACTCCCGACCATCAAGATGATTTATTTTAATCCAAACAAGCAACTAATCCAGCTGGGGAGACACTCAAATATGTTGCTCATGAACAATGAAGAATTGGTGAGGGATGACAAAAATCAATGTCAGCCTTGGCTGAAGCAAGTGCAAGTCGGTGGAATTTAAGATCCTGAGAAAACTGAGGAGGGCAAGGAGCAGACCCTATACTTCAGGAGAACAGACTGCAGTTTGTTCAGGGGGTTTACAGGCAGGATCCTGTGGGAAGTTGCCGTGGAGGGTAGAAGAGTGGGTTGATCTTTGAAGATGACGTGTTCAGAGCATAAGAACAGTCTGTTCTAGTTAGCTAGAAATCAAGCAGGCATGGCAGAGAGCCAGACAGGCTGAATGGGTAACCCCTGCCTCAACTCAAGCACAAAAAGCAAAGGTTTGAAATGCACAAACAGGACTAGGCTACCCAGTATCCAGCAAGAATGTCCCACACATGCAAGGGCAGAACTGAGAAAGGAAAGAGGTGAGTTGAAATTAACCAGTCATGAAGGGGAATAAGCTTTGATACAGTAATAAAACAAAGAGCAAGGCAAACATGGGCCCACTGCTCTCAAGAGCACAGTGGATTTAACGGTAAAGATTACAGAGATCAAGGTAACCATGTCTTTTTTACTTCTGACTTTATTGATAAGGCTTGTAGGCCACCCAGCTCCCTGAAGCAGAATGTGGGACAGCAAAGCAAGCAGCGAACTTGACACATCCTCTGTGCTGGGACAAGAGAGGATACATTTGAGGGTGCTGAAGGAGCCAATCAACACTGTTAGCCAGCTGCTTGCCTTCTCTGAAAGGTCACTGTAACTGGGGAAGACTCCTGATGACTGGGTAAAGGTCAAGCATCACGTCTGTCTTGAAATCAGAGCAATAAGGACAATCCAGAAAACTACAGGCTGGAATCACAGTCTAACCTCTTAGGTTAGCCATCGTGTTCTTGGAAGTCACTTTCCAAGAACACGATGGATAAGAAAGAATAGGAATGGTCAAGATGGATCTACTAAGAATTAACCATGTTTGATCAGTATTATTGCTTTCCATGATAAGGAGGAAGAGCAGTACACATTTCCTTCTCTTGATTTGGCATGGCTTTCAACACAACATCTCAGTGAACCTTTGTAGCCAAACTGGGGTGACATGAGAATGCGTGGAGAAATATCAAGATGGGTGGAAATACAACACAGGTCAGTTGTTCACCAATCCAACCGGTTGCCAGTTACAAATGGCACAATTTCAGGATTGCTATCAATGACTATGGTTTTACTAATGGCTCAGAAGATATTATCAGTTTTCTCTTTGCACATTCATCGATAAGATGGTAGGGAGCACTTGAAATATGGGAGGGCAGAGCTGTTCATAAGAGGGAACTGGAAAGGCTGAAACCACACAAAGATCAACAAAGCCAAATTCAGGGCCTTGCATCTGGGATAGAACCATACAGTAAGTAGTATGTGCTCAAAGCCACCAACCAGAAAATACCTTAAGAAAGAGGACCTGAGAGCTCTAATGGACAACAAGATGAACACATAAACAAGCATTAAACCTCTGCAATGACTGCATCCCAGGCTGTTTTGGTAAACACATAGCCAGTAGGTCAAGTGCTATGACTATTCTCCTCTTTGTTACTTATGAAACCACATCTGGAATGTTGTATCTAGTTTTGGGTTCCTCAATGCAACAAAAATCCTAAAATACTCCTTGGCTGATGGAAGGCCACCAAGATGCTGGCAGGTGGAACCACACAACGTACTCCGAGATGATGAGAGAGTAGGGAAAGAATCCCCAGAAAGAGAATGGTCACCACAGGCACAGACTGTCCAGTGGAGCTGCAGAAACTCCATCCTTGGAAATTGTAAAATTATTCAACAGCACAAGGCCCTGAACAACCTGATTTAACACCTGGAGTGCCTTTGAGAAAAGAGTTGGACCAGTCGACCTCAAGAGGTCCTTCCCAATATAAACTGCTATAAGATCCCAGGATTCTGCCAGCTTTCATTGCCACTAGTATTGTGGAACATACATCAGCAACTGAAAAATTCTTCTTCTGGGAAAAAGAGTAGGTACCAGGGGATAGAGAAGATAAATAATATTAAAAAAACCTTCAGAATAATCAGGAAAAGAATCTGTCTGTAGAGCTGTAAGGGTAAAGGCAATTAAAAATGTAGAACTTGAGAAATGTGCTACATTTTGTGTACCATTAAGACTGTGAAGAAATCCAGACGGTGAACAGGAAAAGAAGTTGAGAGAATGTTTTCTACAGCAGATCACAAAAGCTTAGACAGGAAGCATGGGACAGCAACAGTGGTTCTCTCATACCCAGTTTATTATTTTGTTCATAATGTGAACAAATTTTGCAATTTATGAAGACTGTGCTTAGAAACTTGCTTAAATACAAATCAAAAGCTTTGGCACATGATAAGGAGGATCAATGCAAATTTACAGGAAGCAGCAGTAGAGGAGTATCTGCCTATTTCAATTCAAAGTGAATGTGCTGTTCTCTGATATCTTTGAACACAGAATGTCACATCTCATAAGGGAAAGAAACCACATGAATTTATTTTCAGATGTTTGTGATGTTTCAAGTGTTTTGAGATGTGTGAAATGGCACAGATTTAAATACATAAGGGTAAGGTGCAGTCCTACATAGCTCCATTAATGGTCAGAACCTCAGGAAATTGCACTCAAAATATAATGCAAACATGAACAATTCTAATACAGTCCCAGAGAAATTCTTGAAACATCAGATACTGTAGCCAAGCATGTATTATGCATATTAAATATACACTATCTATAAGTATATATAACGTATGTATATGTAAACAAATGAGATGGCAACTAGAAATTAATATTTTTATCATTGCTGTCTACTGTAAAGATAGTCCACTAAGATTTAATGATCTTAAAAAAAAAAAAAAAAATAACAAAAATCTACAAAGATATTGTAGGGTAGTTACAGAGGTGAACTTTCTATTTTCTCATAAAGTTTAACAGATAGGGAACAAATAAAGCATTGGAACTAACTAATTTGAAGCAAAAAACAGGCTGCAAGAAGGCAAGTTCAGAAAAAATCCTGAAGCAATGTCATGTTTGCAGCACGCTGAATCATGATTTTGTTCAGGTATCACATAACATGACCCAACTCAAGGTGTGGGAGACCTTTCCAACACTATACTTTTGCTGTTGGATTGAATTTTCAGGTTACATGAATCTCAGTTTGCGCACACAGATACCAGAGAGTGTATGCTACACTTTCATGAATTTGCAACAACAGAAACCCAGCAGAAGAAAAATACCAAGTTAAAATGAAGACACTAAGATGGACTGACTGCCTAGCCTCAGAATATAACTGAATCATATAAATTCTTGTGACATTTGAGATAAAATTCCTAAAATATGAAAACATCACCACCTATTCTTTTTTAACAAAGAAAGGAATGCTAGATAGCAGAAGTGTTTTAAGACAGCTTTTGATTTACTACTTTAAAATGGCACTATAACCTTTAAACAAATGAAGCTTAACTTTCTGAAAGGGCAGAGCGCCTGGATCAGTCACTGACAGCTGGCTGCAAGAATGCAGCTGAAGGTTACTAGTGAAAATGGAATAAATTCCTAACTAGAAGCACAAAGT